GAAAATAAATAAAAATAAAATAAACAACGATTTGCAGGTAGCACATCCACATAGTGGTTCTGATTCCTGGTCGAATTGGAATTTGGAAATGTTGGTTTTTGAGGAGAGGGGAAAACCGGAGTACCCGGAGAAAAACCTCTCGGAGCAAAGGAGAGAACCAACAACAAACTCAACCCACGTATGGCGTCGACGTCGGGATTTGAACCCGGGCCACATTAGTGGGAGGCGAGTGCTCTCACCACTGCGCCACCCTTGGTCCCCTGATATGACATTGTGAGCAAACTCAGTAGTTTTTCAAGCAATAACTGACCCAATCGTTTTTCATTCTTTAGTCTGTTACATAAAGCAGTTCTCATAGCCATTATACCGTCACGAAAACCACAGTGATGTTATCACTCCCCGCTTCACAACCATCTTAGACGCTAATTTCGCCCCATGTCGGAGAATCCGGATTCCGGAATCCGGGAAAACTTTGCTTGTGGCATCCGGAATCCTACTAAGGACTGGAATCCAGAATCCGAGTTCCACTAAAAAAGACTGGAATCAAGTGGCTGGAATCCGGAATCCACGGCGTGGAATCCAGAATCCAAGACTGTCTTGAATTCCCTTACATTGCCTAGTTTCAAATCGAAAGGGGTTGGGTACGAGTCGGTTTATTTAAGCAATATTAATAGACCACACTTTCTAAGGGCTTCCCGACATGATAGCCCACTTGGGATGTTGGGAGAAGACGAGAAAAGCTTGTAAATCACGAGCCAAAGGCGAGTGATTTACAAGCTTTTCGAGTGTTCTCCCCTTATCCCAAGTGGGTTATCACGCCGGTAAACCCATAGAAAGTGTGGTCTATTGCTTTTATAAAATAACTTTAAGTTTTCTATGAGTTTACCAGCACAATAAACCATAGGTTTTTAACCAATCAGAACGCGCGTACTATCTTAGTTATTTTATAATGTGGGATAAACAACACGAGACCCTTATAGTCAGAAAGAGCACATTGAAATTTCTCAGGTTTGGTGTTTATTGGGCCTATATTGAACGACATAACGCCATTCAAAAACTCCAAACATCTCTTGTAAATTTTCAAGTTTATAAATAGCTCTGGCTTGTTAAATATTGGCCCTATCGACACTATAACCTCAATGTGCTCTTTCTGACTATGTGGTTTTCGTGTTGTTTATCTCATAATAACCCGACTAGTACCCAGCCCCTCGCGATTTGAAACTAGGCATTAGGGCGACTGATTACAGTCGACTCTCTCTTAACGGACATCTACAATGGAGGACAAAAGACTTGGGACTGTGTGAAAAAGCCCTTCCAAGTAATTGTTACATAGGACTCTGCTCCTAATGACAATTTTTTGATCCGATCTGGGCTCATCCCGTCGTCCTCCCAATCCCACCCCCTCCCCCCAGCAATGTTGTGACCTTTTACTACTATCACCGAAAAAGTCCCAACACTTTTGACCTCCATTGTAGAATTGGACCCTGCTTTTCTTTAATTACTCCCCTCTTTATTTGACTCTCTATAGGGCAGACCTCTCTCTAATATGGACACTTAGTGCCAGTCGCAAAAAATTCGCAAATATTTCCATTATAGAGATCAGAGAGAGAGTTAACGGTGTTAACATTTTGATAGATGTATATGAAATAAATCATATAACAACTGTGGAAATGAAATCAATTGAAGAATAATCCTCGCAGTTTATGCAATTGCGTAAGAAGCCTGAACAAAATTCAGGGCTTAACGGGATTTTCAAAATAACCCTTATATCACACCATGGGTTTTTGAGTGATCGAACGTCAGGGAAGTGGACTTACTTTTTGCCGTTTCTTTTGCAGTGTTTTTGCCCCAATGCTCGGGGAAGTCATCTCTGTAAGAGCAATATATAGATTTAGCTGGGGCTAAAAGCGAAGCTCCCAATAATGGATTTGCAATTTAAATCAAACAATAAACTTGTATTCCACAAATCATGTAGTTAACTTTAGAGCCCATTCATGTGACTTTTGAGGGAAAGGCTAAGTGATTTTAGAGAAAAATAATTTGCAAACAGTCCAAGGGTGAACCAAATCTTACATCGAGTTGATAGCTTTATAGGTACACCCCCCAAAAAAGGCAATCATATATTCCATCACATGTCAGAACCATAATGGCTCTTGGTCACAGTACATTAGGCCTGGAAAACAAATTCTTGGAAAACAAATAAGGCCGAATTTTTTGCGTTCGACAAGTTTGCTTTACAAAATCTTGTTAACAAATATGCGGGCGTGTATACATCACATCTGAGGTAAAACAGTGCTATATAAATGAGGCGCTGTTTTTATCAAACAGACCTCGGACAGAATACAGTATTTAACAATTTTGAAATACAAATTGCACTCATTCAATATTCAGGACCATCGAAGCACGCGTGGGCTTTCAGCGAAACCGCTAAAAAAAATTCCAAAATCACCTATACGGCCGGCCGGTTTCGAGCTGTGGCGTCAGGTTTGAATGAAAATTAACAGAGTTACGCTACTACATAATAAAAAATTTATCTTGTTTATTTTTTATTTAGTGGTTTTATAACGATATGTAATCTTCAAAAGCGTTTGATACGTGTGGCATTTTGAGTACTCCTGCAAGTGATGTTCACGTCTGAAAACAAACCGCACAGCGATTAAAATTGCAAGAGAGACTACTGACAATAAATAAAAGAAATATAATTCGGTGAAACATATACAGAGACAGCAATTTTCATTCACGAAGACGTTAAAGTTTCTCTAAAAATCCTGAGTCTTCAAGCTTATTTATAAGTTTATGTTTTAAGCCGGCTTCCCGGTGTTTGCTTTTTTCAAAGATGAACTCGAGGCAAGAAAATCGCTCAAAGCTTTTTTTACAGCCAGAATTATGACTAAATATTCTTTGGAACGTTTTCTTTCTATTTGCGGTGAGAAAATGTCCAATGCTTTTTAAAGTTCTGAAAGCTTTTATCAAACCTAGCAAACCTGATACTCGGTCAGATCATTGTCTCACTCTTACAAACGTGCCTAAACTAAATAGCCGCATACACTACGCTCGACTTCATTAAATTAGATATATAAAAAGAAAACATCAAATACAATAATTACTCAGGCTAACCATTCAAGATGCAGCTCCTTGAAGCTATCAAGTAAGGCCAGAATCGTTTCAGACTTTTCAACCCTCTTACGCGTCAAGCAAGGTGAAAAACGAAAACGATGCCATCCGAAATCGGATTTCCAACTTTGACAAACGACGTATTTCTTAACCAAAAACCCAATAAACAAACTAGCCACGAATAACAGAAGACTCTTGATAGCAGCTGAATTTCATTTCTTGTACATCGGTTGACAAAAAAATCTACCAGCTTCAGCTGTCAAAGTAAAACAAGTTTCAAGACTGTTGCATAAATTTCCCGCATGAACTCCTGTCAAATTTTGACCAATCAGAGCATAAAAATTGGACGTAGGGCGTGACCAACGCGTGACCAGGGTGAGGAAAGTCAAAAGCAACTGTCTTCCCTGCCTGTAATAGCTGGCTAAAGTTTCGCGTCCGAGGTAAGTTTGAAATCAAGATTTTAATTGTGCGGCACATAAACACAACATATTTCATACGAATTTTAAAAAAATTGAGCCTGCGATCATTTGAAAACTAGTAACTTGTCAGCGGATAACTTCAAAAAAAGTACTCGACCTCGATGAATCGACACCTGAGCCCGCGATACGGTCAGGTGATACTGGTCAGCGGATACCTTTTTTGACAGCTGTCAAATGATCACAACACTGACGTGCAATATGTGTGCAATATCAGTTTTCCTGTGCTCCCAAACTACCTAGAAAGTGTGAGATTGAACATTGGCTGCCCTGTGGTGTGGACGTACGGTCGCTCGTTCGCTCCGTCACGTGATTACCAGATTTTCTGGGATGGGTAAATTTACTTAGCTATGGGGCTCCGCTCGCGCGCGCTTCGCACTTAGACACTTGATGTAGCAATAAAAATTTGGTAGTGTATTTACTGCTTCACCCAACAATGCAACTCCTTATCCTGTGCCTCTCGGTTGGCGCCCCTTTTTCTCGCGATTACCCTGTACTAATGACGTGATTTTCTGGATATCGCAAATGACTCTTCCAAATTTGGTCAACCGTTGCTGGTTATGAATAATTAGCCGTGGGATTTTAGCCAACCAGAAACCACAAAACTCATTTATTTCCAACATCCTGATCGGTTTCAGGGTATGAAGAGTGAAAACCATGAACACGTTTTGTTAGCTTTTATTTCATGCTGGGTATTTTGAGAACGGAACTGTGGAGCCAGAATACTGTAAACTTTAATTTTTACACTTGTTGGAAAAAAATGCCATATTTTTTAGGATTAATGAATCGAATAAAATGAATCAGTTTTTTGTTTGCTCTTGCCTTTCAGTTAGTTTTAGGTACAAGAGAGTTTCGCGTCCGTTAATTTGAGCCATCTAGCAAATAAGTGCTCATTCAAGTCAATATTGTGTCATACTTGTCAGCCATCATCTTATCCTCGGTCTCCTTCATGCAAAACTCATTAGATGTCAAAGCAGCTTTTTACAGTCTCGCGAATTTCTCGATATCGACAAAAGTAAACTAAGGGGTTAAGGGAGGAATTTAGGAAAACAAAAAATAAAGACGCATAGTAAGCTAACAGCAGGGACGTTTGCTTGCCGGTGATCAGCAATAACACAGCAGAAAAAAATTGTGGAAGATAACGTACTAGGAAAACTACAGAAACGGCCAAACTATTCAAAGCAAATTTCTTCTGTCGCTGTTGATCCGGCGTGGATTGCTGGTTTCGTATTTGATGATATTTTACTGCTTTGTAAATACGGATATACGCCACAGTTGTCAAGGAAACTCCAAGAAATGCAACGACTGCATTGACTATACTATTGCCTGCCAAAATGGTAATAAATAGGGAGGCGGCGATGCCACTTGTGAATCACACTGCTATCAACGCAAAGCTGGCAAGCTTTGATGTCACGAATTCGCAATATCGAATATGCAGATGTATCGGGCAAAAGCGTCTCCGTTAGATTTCATTTTCAACATCACCGTGATGAAAACAACAGACATTGGTTGTCCTAACGTTCCCACTGCAAGATCCGACAAAGCAAGAGTCAGGAAAAACTTTTTCATAACGGTCGGTATCGATGAGCATGTCCTCAGCGCGTAAATAACTAAAAGATTTTCCACAACTGCCAACACGGAAAACACCAGGTTTAAAATACAAAAAACCAGCATACTAATTCCGTGAAACTGAACAAGTGAAGATAACTCGTGAAGCTTTTGAGTACAGAACTGAGAGACCATGGTAAAATAAATTTAAGTCCTGCAGTTCTTGTTGGAGTCTTACTGAGAACTAGAACTGGGCTGAACTTAGTAATTGGCCAACCTTATTCGGCCCATATAAAACAGCTGACTCTTGACAAGACATGTCATAACGGTGCATTTAGGTTTTAATCGTTATCTTTATACATGAGTGTTTTTTCCTTAAAAGCAAACATGGCGGGTGGAATATTGAGAACATAATTAAGTCAACATAAGGAAGCTTACGCAACGACGTAGAACATGGCGGATGGAATATTGAGAACATAAGGGAACGTACAACAACGTACACTGAACGACGACGAATTTTGATATCTCAACGGAAAAATCACAAATGATCGAGGAGTTCGAGAAAAGATAGTCTGAGTTTTATCAAGAACATTTCCACTGCTTTCGCAGTCAGTCGTAGTTCAGTAAGTTCGCCTTTAATTTTTGCTATCAAACATTGAAATTTTCTAAAAGCGAGATATTTAAAACTGATTTTGTAATATTGTGCAAGTTTTCTTTGCTGGTTAATGACGTCTCTAAATATTCACCTGGTCTACTCATTGAGTAAAAAACCGTTAATTCGGACACCCCATTATTACGGACAGTTTTCGTTATCCATGGGAAAGAAAGCCCTTACTTTTTCTCAACTTGTTTAATACGGACATCCCTGTTAATACGGACACTTTTTATGGCCCCCTAAGTCCGTATAAAGAGGCTTGATTGTAATTTTTAAGTTGACCCAGGTTATTTAGTATTCAAATAAACATTTAAATGACTTAGTCGCTTGTAAAACATGTCAATTTATACATGAAGCGTGTTGAGTTTAAGGTTCAAGTAATTTACACAAACCCACCTCTAACCTGTTTCTCCAAGAAAAATAGAAGCACCTTATCGACGCGAGCAATGAAAAGTTTATCTGAGCGGAAATATTTTTGTTTTTTCTTAAAAATCAGCCTACTATATGAGAAAATATTATTATCTATCTTGCGAGTATAATGTCTAATGAGAAAAATTGAGACAGTCGCATACGGCCCAAAAGAAATACTTTGCTCAAGGTACTCTGCAATTGGCTTTGTCCAGTCTTTGTACATGTAGGTCAAAATCAAATCTCTATATCAGTCGGTCCTGGACTTGTACAATTTGTCCTGGTTCTTCTATTTTACTGTCCAAGGTTACAAAGAGACAACTTCCATAATTGTGTATGACACCTGTCTCAAATTAATGGGATGCAGGTTTTTCTGGTAAGTTAGTGCTGTCATCGGAACTGGAAGATGCCATCGGTCCGTCCAGAGAGGAGCTATGCAACGAGACTGCAACCAATGTCTAGTTTCGTTAAAAAACAAACAAACAAACAAACAAACAAAGAAACAGACTTCCACAAACATTTATCTTCGACCGTTGAGGAAAGTTTAAAGGATCCAACTAGAAATTCCAAATCCTGTTGAGCTGGAACGCTTTTCAGTAATTAACCTTAACGTTGATTCAGTTATCGGCTGTGCGAGATTTATTTGTGGGGGAAATGGTAAAAACAAGCACCATTGCTGTAAAACGAGTCGAATAGTGACTGTTGCGCGTTTTACCACCCACGATCAAACCTGCCTTGCAACCAAATCAGGTTGTTACAGGTTGCTAAAAGTTGCTTCAGAAAGTATAGGCTAGCTAGTTTTACTTTTTGCAACAAAATCTGTTCACGTTGAATGGGCTTCAGTTACCGGCCCAACGCAAACTTGTTTTGCAACTGAACAAGTGACCTAACTCCAGTGTATGGAGCGACTAGTACTCCTGCGTACTTTTATCCAGTCAGAATTCAGTATTTACGCAAGTTGCAACTATAGTAGCTGATTTATAGTAGCAGGTTTTAACGTGGGTGGTAAAACGAGCAAAATTGCTTTTCAAGGCTTTTCAAGTCGTTTGCAGCAATGATGCAAAACAACTCGCCGTTTTTGTTGCTCATTTTTCCAATCAGGTTAGCAATACACCTCTCAGTTGTCACTTCTGCAATTTGAATTGAGAAATCCCTCTTAACTTTCAACTAACTTAATCTTGGCGTGCGTGTGACTGTTTTGTCATCATGACTATTTCTTTCCTTTGAGCTTATTAAAAGTGAATCCGGCTTGCGTCGCTGCTTATACATTTAGTTGCTACGTGTTCTGTCGTGAATTGTAATACCTGTCGTAAATTGTAATAACAATCGTGGTAAATTGTAATATCTGTCGTAAATTGTAATGACAGCTAGTTGTCGAGAATTGTAATAACCAAGCTATCGTAAATTGTAATAAACGTTGTCGTAATTTGTAATAACAGGGGCACCCAACGGCAATTTTCGGGAAAATATCTGTTCGGAAGACGATTTGAGATCTAGAATTTTCGGAGCATTTGTTGTAAAATTTCTTGCTTGCCTGCCTCTCCTAGGGTTTTCGAACATCTACAAAATGGTATAATTACTCATTTTTAACGGATTTTGACCGTAAAAAAGGCCACCTAGAATTTTCGGGAGCCTTTTCCTGGCTGAAATTTTCGAGAAGGTAAGTATTTATCCCTATAATTTTCGGATCACTAGATTTTCAGCTAGGAAATCGGAACAGATGAAACGTTTTTAGGGGATAAAAATATGCCTATATCTACCGTTTGAATACTAATATACGTTCAACAATGCTATGTTAAGTGGTTTTGAACTATATCCTCGTTGGGTGCCCCTGTAATAAGCCTAGCTGTCGTGAATTGTAATAACCGCACTTTGCAATACTTCATAATGTCAAGGGCTTATCAACTGAAGTTTTCTTGTCAATCAGAAACATTTAAGCTATAATGTAGCCAGCATTAACACATCATACGGAAGAGCAGCGAAAGGAAAATAGCATATACTAATAACTTTATGACATCGCGCTCAGACTCGCGATATATTTCAGTTTAACTAGCGTGGACAATCGATATTACGGACTCATCCTTGACTGAGTCAAAATTCTCGGACAATCGCTAACTCAAAATCTCGCCCTACAAGTATCGCCATCATATAATGATCTGAAATCTTATAAACCTGTGCCTGACCCAGCGTGAAATAAATATTTACAGCAGTATATGCAGACCATAGGGGTGGGGGTGGGGGTTTGTTGTTCCACTTTAGTCCAAGATGGTAGTTTTTTCTTTGGATTCTCTTACCACACTGCCTTACCAGGGGTTTCAGTTTTCTTTATTTAAGAGAGAGGGAAAAGATTCGCATAAATGTCAAACTGCATACAAACCATGAAAACTGAATAAAAGGTACGTAAACCTAATTTGTTGAAGTGTTTTTTAAAGGGGCTGGATTACGGCTGGCTACTTCATTTTGTTTATAATCATGTCAGTTACGCCTCCTTATTCGCAATTAACTTTTAGAAATTACTTGTAAATGACAAAATCACAGCTTTTGCCACACAAATATATCTCCAAGCCATTATATCAAACTTTACAAAAGCTTACAAACAACAGAAATGAACTTTAAAAGACAAAGAGGCCAACAAGTCTTCGAAACCACAATTGCAATCCCTTTCAATATCTTTTTCAAGTTTGTCCATCTGCGCCTTTCCTTTGCATTCAGTTTGCTGTGTTATGTATACCTTAGCTTCTTCGAGCGGTTATTCATGTTTCACCCAGTTAGGTGGCAGTTCCGTCCTCTGTTTGAATTTTGATAAATTCCGTGACGAAACTCCTTTAAGTAAAGCTAAGTAAGTTTGTTAAGTGTCCTTTATCCTTATAAGTTATCTTTCTAATTCTTTCTCTTTTTTTGCCTTTTTTTTCTTGTGAAGTTTTTTTTTTTGAACGGGGGTGAGCTCATTGTTGTGTACACATCCTATTTGGTGCCTTTATTTCGTTTATTTAGTGGCACATGCTTTCTTGCATTCGTGTCACGCTCTTCTCTTGTTTAAAAAAGAAAGACCAATATGCAAATCTATGACTGACCCCGACCTTTCGTGGTCATAAGGATCCCCAGATCGAAAAAGACATGACTCTCCAAATCGTGCTAATCTCTGGTTGTTCCAGCGGCATTGGACTCGCTACCGCTGTGCTTCTCGCTAAAGATGCCGAGAAACGCTTTAAGGTTTACGCCACCATGCGAAATCTGGCGAAGAAAGGACAACTGGAGGAAGAAGGGAAGGAACAACTTGGAGACACTTTGATTATCAAACAGATGGACGTGTGCAGTGGTGAATCAGTCGCGAAGGTTGTTAAAGAGGTGCTCGACGCTGAAGGGAAAATTGATGTGTTGTGTAAGTGATTCCCGACATTGATAGTTATGTCCTTTTAACAATTTAAAAGTTCCTTTTCAGTACTGTATCGAATTGCATCGACCTCGCTATAGTTTAACGAATTTTTACGAAGTCTCATGCAGGCGCGATAACGCGACAGGACTCTTAATACGAAAGGGCTGGTAGCTCTTTTGGAAAGCCCTGACTCTAACTTTTGAAAGAGGTCAAAATTAAGTAATCGAAAGATGTTCTCTGGTTGACTGCTTTCTCTGCTCCTCTTGAATATTGCTGACCCGGGCTGATTTAATTCGCAATAGACAAAGTGGATTTTATATTGCCCGCAATTTAAAACAATCATAGAAGTTGCTTTGACTTCGCTTAAAAGAGACTATAATGTTTGAGCTGCAAAATTGTGACCTTTCTTTTTAAGTTTTTATGAATGTGAAACTCAACAATAAGGATTTCTGACTTTGTCAGATTGAGCTAGGACAAACAATATAAGCATGACCAAGCAATATGCAAAGTAGGGGTTACGAAACCACGGCTATTACGGCAAATGAAATAATTAAAAAAAATAAAAGGTGGCAAGCGGGAGAAAAAAGGGAATCGGCGACAGAACAATTACGCATTTCAATTCAAATTCAAAGTAGACAGACTGCAAATTAAAGTAGTTGCTAAAAAATATATCTACGTGTCCAAACTGTTCATCAGTAGGATGCCTAAAATGCGTGCAATTCCATAATTGCTTTCGGCTCCATTAAATCCTATACCAATTGCAGAACATTTTAGGAGGAGCCACCCACCGTGTGAGCACAGTCGCGGACAACACATGTAAGTGACGAAAATAACGCAAAGCAAAACTAAGACGTTATTAAACGAACTAAATGTACACGCAACTTAAATAGATAAATAAATAATGCACGCGCCCAAAATTAAATGCGTGTCATGCGTGTCAGTGCTTAACATTTTGCAATGAATCGAAGAAAGGGCCATAAAAAAGAGAGGCAAGAAAAAAAAAGGAGGGTGGAAACTGTTGAAACGCTTGCTACGTGTTCCTTCCCTTTCCTTTCAATGTTGACGTCGAAGACGTTTATGCCCAAGCAAACGCGTGAAACCAACGTTAAAGAAAGCCGGAGGGTAGCAATACGTGCATTCATGAAACGACCAAGTTTTAATATGTTGTGTTTTCCGGAAGTGTTTCAACAAATTATGACCTGGATTGCGTTCCCGGTCAAAACTGAAACGATTGCAAAGTTTTCCATCCCTTCTCTTTCAATGTTGACGTCGAAGACGTTTATGCCCAAGCAAACGCGTGAAACCAACATTGAGGGAGGGGAGGGTAGGCAAGCAACACGTGTATTCATGAACCGACTAACGGGACTAAGTTTAAGTTGTGTTTTCCGGAAACTTCAATAAATTATGACCAGGATTGAAGGTGCGGGAGGCGAGATTTGGATCGCCATCAATCCCCCTCCACTCTTCTCCCCTGTTATAATGAACCAGGTGGGCCTGGTAACAAAACTAACAGTAATTAGTAAAATCGAACTAGGGGTCTATTATCAATGCTGCGATCTGATTGGTTGAGCTACTACTAGGCTATAAGTTATAGCCCACTAGTAACGAAAAGCGCCGGCTTTTTGGCGGCAAAAAAGGATCAAAGTCTAGCTTTAACTAGCTAAGATTGTTTTGTCTCGATACATGCTCGATATTATTGACCAATTAGTTGGATTCTTCGGCCTCATGGGCCATATTGACTCAGAACCAATTCGCGCTCAAGGAATAACTGTTAAATATACGTTGATGCTCAACAGTCAACAACGCTGGAGTAGCATTGTTAACCATAATGGAGTGTGTCCCAGTGGACATGGCCAAGGAATTGTTTGAAGTGAACGTCTTTGGTACCTTGCGACTGATCCAAGCTGTGCTGCCAGGCATGAAAGAGAGAAGGAGCGGGTGTATAATTAACAACAGCAGCCATATTGGAATTGTTGGATCACCTTTCAATGAGCTTTACGCATCTTCAAAGTTTGCAGTGGAGGGCCTTACTGAAGCAATGGCTCCAACCTTGCTTCATTTTAATATCAGGTAAAGTAGACCAAAGTTATTCAAACGCTGGATAGCTCTTTCCAACTTACAAACAAATCAAACTATCCAGCGGGTAAGTATTAGTAAGAACCATAATGGCTCTTGGCAATAGGGAACTCTGTTACACTCTCTAACTGATAGAGATTTATCCAGTGAATAGCGTTATCGCACTTTTAAATAACTTGGTCGGGCCAGAACATTAGAGGCCACAGGCAAACCATTCTAGAACTGGTCAGCTTGGTATTTCTGGAATACCCTTCAATGAGCTTTACGGTGCTACTCAATTTAATAGTTTGCAGATAAGAAATTGAACTACGGCCTCAGCTGTAAGATCAGTAACATGTCCTGCCCTGGCTTACTACCTTATGGCTGTTTTTGTGGCAGAGTTTTATTTATACTGCTGCTGCTACAAACGCGAACACAGGCAAACCATGCTAGACTGGGTCAGTTTGGTATTCTTAGAATAACTATTTATCAGTTGATTTTCTTCTAGTTTACTTAAAATTTATAGTTGCTGTACGAGATGGGGCCAATATCGTGTACATTAAATTTCCAGATCTTCAGCAATTATTGGAAGAGGCTGGGTACGATCTGAAGAATTATGTAGATCATTTAAGACGGAATCCAGTGGAGAAAAACCTTGTACCAGAATAATTGAAACAATATCGCATTTGTTTTTACACGCGTATGTTTTCTTCGACTACTGAGGCGCGGGCGCTAAGCAGGCGGTGTATTCTCTTAAAACTACTTAGGGCTAACAGCGTGCACTTAGTTTCTCATTTGACAGGAACGCTCGGTTACAAAGACTTTGAGTCCAACTAGGCAAAGCGTGTTTTCAGGCTTCTTTAGGGAGTAGTTCGGCTATTTCTTCATGCTTAAGGTGTATCGATACAGTTTTTCAGAGGCTACACCGATATTTTTCAATCGCTTTAAAAGTGTTTTTTTTCTTCGTCCGATCGCTATAAAATTTTCACCAGTAAATGAATATGGATTGGAATTTGTGAAAATGTAGTTTTAAGTAAAATCGATATTACTATGACAACAATAAACAAAAAACTTTGAGATTGACAAAAGCCGACTTTTGTGTGATCTAGACCAGCTACTGAAAATCCAACACTAGGAACTTAAAGTTCGGTGTTAAGCAAACAATCTCCGTAAGAAGTAAAAAATTCTGTATGTTTGAATTCGACTAAAACGAAAATATAATTCAAACCCTAAATTTTCAATAGCCGTGATAGATTATTTAACAAAAACGTTATCAATGACTCAAATTATTCTTAAGTAGCGTCAGAATGCTGCTTAATATCATATTTTTGCGCTAGGAAATTTTGGTGTATTTTCGTTCTTGCGATCTTGAAAACTAATTCGTTTTCTCACCACCTGTATAAGTGCCACTTCATTCAAAATTTGGACTTTTAGCGCTTTTTTGTATATCTCTGAAACGACTTAAACGATTTCTTTTAAAATCTCTTCACATAATGTACATAACGTATATAATAAGGTCTGAAACTTTCATTGAGATTGATTCACTGCAACATCTTAAAATTTTAAGACAAACCTATCCTACGAACCGGTCAAAAATCTGCGTTACAACATTCACTGTTTTGACGTTATGCTAATTTTTCCAAAATAATACCTCCATGACTAGTACATTTTAGTATGAATTTATCGCATGTTTTGAATAAAAACACTGACAATACTCACACTGTCATGGATATATGTAACGTCCGCATGAATTTGGAAAAATTAGCATAACGTCAAAACAGTGAATGTTGTAGCGCACATTTTTGACCGGTTCGTAGGATAGGTTTGTCTTGAAATTTCAAGGTGTTGCAGTGAATCAATCTTAATGAAAGTTCCAGACATTATCGTATACGTTATGAAGATTATGTGAAGAGATTTTAAAAAAATTCGTTCAAGTCGTTTCAGAGATATACAAAAAACCGCTAAAAGTCCAAATTTTGAATGAAGTTGCACTTAGACAGGTGGTGAGAAAACGGGTTAGTTTTTGAGATCGCAAGAACGAAAATACACCAAAATTCCCTAGCAACAAAATATGATATTAAGCAGCATTCTGACGCTACTTAAGAATGCTTTGAGCCATTTATAACGTTTTTATTAAACAATCTATCATGGCTATTGAAAATTCAAGGTTTGAAATATATTTTCATTTTAGTCGAATTCAAACATACAGAATTTTTTACTTCTTACGGACGTTATTTGCTGAACACCAAACTTTAAGTTCCTAATGTTGGATTTTCAGTAGCTGGTCTAGATCGCGCAAAATTAGGCGTTTATCAATTTCAAAGTTTTTTGTTTATTGTTGTCATAGTAATATCGATTTTACTAAAACTTACATTTTGACAAATTTCGATCTATAGTCAATCATTTGTGAAAAATGTATAGCAATCAGACAAGAATAAAATCACTGTTAAAGCGATTGAAAAATATCGGTATGGCCTCTGAAAAACTATATCCAAACACCTTAACGTGTGGAATTTTTTGGCCATTTTCTACAGCTTTCACAAAATTCCTGAGCTGCGCAGCCTCGTCCCCAGAGCTACTCGGTTGCCCTTTTTCCTTGCTCTAACGTTTCCCAGATTCTTTTCTGGACCTACACATTCCATGAAGTAACACTGTGCACTTAATCTAAGTTGAAGGCGTTGCTTAAACTAAACTACACCTTCTACAGTACGCAGTTCCTCGATATAATGAACCTCTACATAACGAAGTCCTTGGTATAGCGAGTGATTTTCTTTACCCCAGTAATAGTAAAACATATGATAAAGAAGTTCAAAATAAAGAAACCTCGCTATAGCGAACAAATTTTGTCAGTCCCTTGACTCCCCTCCCCCCCTTATCGAGGGTTCACTGTACAGTATTATATTAAAAACCCATTAAAGAAGATGTAATCTCCACAACCTTCTAACTATCCATATACCCTTTCCCTACCCTTGGTAGGTGTTCTCTACTTGAACCAGGTCCCGTTGGGACGGTACTTGTCGGAAACATGGAAGCCTGGCACAAGAAATATGACAAGCCAACTGCTGACGAAGAGTCTTCGAAACTTCTTCAAACCTTCACAGGAAATGCATGGCCAATAGCTCTTAAGATGATGCAAGATGTCAAGGAAGTCGCAGAGATTGTGAAAACGATCGTACTTAGCGACAAGCCAAACCTACGATATCAAACAAATAAGAATTTCCACCCCGATGAAGTAAAGGCCAAACTCACTGATCCTACTGGGAATGTTATGGTTGATTTGATGGTCAAAAAGTACTTCGATAAAGAATAGTTCGTATACTGTTAACAAGTTGATGCATAAATGTTATTCCAAGTGTAAGTCATTAAAGCCTTTTATATTTGATTGTCAAATGGAAAATCGTATATAGTCAAGAAGTAAGTTTCCTCAAGACCCTGAGAGACACTTTCATGATTTGGCCGGCAAGCATTTACTCGAATAGAGACTCTAAGTGTAGCAAAATAAATTTGAAATATTCCGATTTACTGATGTTGGGTGTCTTTTCATCTAAAGTCGTTTTTCTCCATATAGGCAGTATAACGCCTGGGTCACAGCGTACTACACTTTGGATGGGATTTTTCAGGGCTAATACCCCCAAGTTTGACCATTAATCCCAGATTGGATCAAAGATTCCTTGTCAGTGGAAGGGATTGCCATCATAAACGGAATTCCGGATTTCTTGTGCTGATTTCCGGATTTCAAAGCCCAGGGCCGATTTGTTCGAAGCTGGGATAAGTTAACCCAGGGTTAGTGCGAGATTTGAATTCAGATTTGAAAGCTTTAAAACCATTTCAGTTTTAATTCTTTCTGTCTACAAGTTGATGATTGGAAGCTCTAAATTTTTCAGAGAAAATTATCCGAGAAAATGCTTTCGAACACAAGAAAAAGAAACCGGGGTTAAATTTAACCCCGGGTTAAGCGCTAATCGGCCTTCGAACAACTGGGCTCAGCGTTGCGGATTCCACAAGAAAAAAAAAACTTTCCTGGTTTTAGGATTCCTGAAGCAAACACTCCCCGGATTTTGGAAACTGGGTTACCTTACATGGGGTGAATCAGGGTAGCCTGCGAAATATCGAGGAGGCGAGCGCACGTTCTAGTCGCGCGCTCTATAAAAGATAACCAAAAACCTAACTTGACATAAACCAATCCTAAAAACCACCATCAAAGCCAACACGATGACCATAATCAAAGCCATCATCAAAACCATCATAGTCGTCAAAGTTAAAAAATGAGAGGGAATAGCACTCATAAAATTTTACCAACACTGTTATTCCTAGCTTTCGAAAACATCCGTCTCTCCTCGCTCTTTTCAGGACGTTTCGCTAAACGAAACGCCCCTAGTACGGCGTCGAGGAGAGACGGCGTCGAGGCATTAGAGACGGCAATCACCATGAGTCCAATTAACACCACCACCGGCGGGCTGGCCGTCAAACAACCTACATCGCACAACCGGTACCATCATGTCAACCTCAACATCAATAGCGAAAGAGCTAATCGCCAAAGAGTTACGCTGCAGGTGGCCCATTTTCAAGCTCGGGCGTCCCCATAGAAGAAGACATTGGAACATTTGGTCATCTTTCTGTAAAACTTAAAGGAACGCCTTTAAAACCGACTAAATACGGTAAGCCTACGGACGCATAGCTCGCGCGCCCGAAATCCCCATCCCCTTCCCTTTCGGTTTATGACAGGCGCCTATTACCTTCCGTCACCTCCTGTCCCAATGCCTCCAGCCCAGGTGTTTTTAGGTCTTTCGTCACACGTTCCTGCCCCATGAATGAATGAATGAATGAATCCTGGATTAATGAATGAATGAATGAATGAACGAAGTTTATTGCCTGAGGGGCTTTTCAGCGATACAACACAATATTAGAAACCGTTAATGCATATAAGTAATGAAATTAAAAAAAATATTGTTTTTATATTTACTTACGAAAAACTATTTATCCAAGTTTCCGTTTAAAATTACTGTGATACTGAATACAATGTTAAAACCTGCATCGCATTATGAAATCGCCACAAATATATAACTAAAAGTATTATGCATATTCAGGAGCTCCCCGGATTAAGGAATTTCTGTAACATTATTTGCCTCAGGAACGGGTGACGAAGCCCACACGAGTGCGGGCTTCAGGAGATAGTTTTTTTCTTTTTGGCGCCAAAAAAAAATTCCTGATCGCAGGTTACGTGGGAAAGAGAAAATTGATCTCCCGGACGTAAAAAATAATGGGAACCGAAAGTTGGTACTTTAAGTGCTCTGACTCGACAAATTTTTACAGCAGGAAATAAAACAAAGGAATTCACATTCGTTGTGTGCGGCAGAAGGGTCCATCAAGCAAGATATCGAATTCCGGTTGTTATTCATGACGTCCGGGACGTCAGCGTGACTTAAACTAAGCTAGCTAATACGTCAAATTCGATCACTTAAAGGGGCTATGTCAGCCGGAGAGCATGCGCTCTGAGGTTATGCAAATTACTTTCAACTGTCAAAATTCTATTGTTTTTAACGCGTGACTTTCTCCATGTGCGCTCTGAGGTTATGCAAATTACTTTCAACTGTCAAAATTCTATTGTTTTTAACGCGTGACTTTCTTCATGTTCTCTGTCACGTCCAAGGTTCCGAATTTAGAGAGGTTAACAAGCGAAATGGGTTTAAATAAGGGATATTTCGATAGAATTTATGAAACGTTTCTTCTCTGGTTATGCTAGATCAAGAATAAAATTGTGACGACAATTTTACTTGTAGTTTTGAAGTAAAAACGCATGCCATTCATAAAATAGAGCGCAAACAAAAATTCAATAACAACATACCGTATTGTCTTATTCAACAAAATAAATGGAAGTTGTATTTTACAAACGAGCTACAAAAGACGCTAGACCGAAGATAAAGACCAAGACTGTTTCAAATCATTAACAATTAGACTTGTCTGTCGCTATTGATTTTATAATTTAGATGCTGATAGAACAAGAGACCAAGTCTTTGTTTTGATCTTAGGGAAACATACATTATCGCGCAAAACTGTTCGATCGTGCCGAATCACTGCGACGTCGGGAAAAACAGAACCCAGTATCATTGGTATACTACTCCACTATAAGCAGTCCGTTGATAAAAAGGGAAAGTAAACTCTGCTATTTTCCAAAATTATGCTCGAACACAAACAGTTAAAAAACATGGCATTTACAGGATCTAACTCGTACTAAGGTGCCTCTCTAAGTCCGTTGAGAACAATCTGGACGAGCAAACGGTCGTGTTTATCTTTGCCGTGAATCGAGATAAATACAAGAAGGAATCTAGCCGAATTTTAGAATGTTTCCTTCGCCAGGAGTTTAGTTTCGTCACGAAACTCATGGCCTGATGCTCTTGTAATCGTTTACAAAAAACGGCCGCCGCCAACTCGATAGCCGCTTCATTATATGTCCACATACTTTGAGTACAAGAAAAATCCAAGAGCCAGCAGCCTCTAAAATAACTCAATAGAAAGGTCCTGTGAACTATAGGGAAGATTCCATCAAAGATTCCATCACTCATTGTGGAGTAGCCGTCATTAACTCTGCCATTACAACGGCCGCTGATAAGAGGACACAGTAAATCCACGTAAAAACATTCCACAGGCAAACAATTTTAAAATAACGCCAAAACATTGTTCTGTAATCACCATAGAACGATTCTTAATACAAAACTTCGCTAACTATCGAGCGATGGCTGAGATTTAGACAGATAAAAACAGCCTTCCAAAATCTCCGACACAACTTGAAAAAGTTGGGCTGTCTTTTTCAAGTTTGTTTTCATTGGCTCGCGCATGCGTGTTGTGTGACATAGCCCCTTTAAGACCTGGCTTTCTTCGCACGCAAATCAACATAGGCATGTCTTCACAGATCGTGCTGATCTCCGGTTGTTCTAGCGGCATTGGACTCGCTACCGCTGTGCATCTGGCTAAAGATGCCGATAAACGCTTCAAGGTTTATGCCACCATGAGAAATCTGGCGAAGAAAGGACAACTGGAGGAAGAAGGAAAGGAACAACTTGGAGACAGTTTGATCATCAAACAGATGGACGTGAGCTGTGATGAATCAGTCACGAAGGTTGTTAAAGAAGTGCTCGACGCTGAGGGAAAAATTGATGTGTTGTGTAAGTGCCTGAAGTACTGTTATATTTTCAGACTTAGATAGATTATTTCTTTATTTCATTTATGCTCCTTTTCGCCAACGAAATATATTAAACATCATTTTATAACAAGGAGTTCGCGATCGCATCACAGGCAGGTATGTACCCCGTGGGCACTATGAAGGCTAGCCTGTGCCAGGCTCTCAGATAGTATAGTGGGAAAGTATTAAAACGAGCAAAGCGAAAATAAGACGCGAACGACTTGGGAAAGAGGGCACGTTTTTCGCATTTCTTATTACTGAAAGACTTTCCACCCCTTTCCACCACCATCTCGGGGCCTGGAACAGGCTATATGAAGGCCCAGGAGAGGCCCTGCCCGAAAGCGTTACCTTTTTCAGGCTTAAAGGACAAATTTGTGATTTAGATGTTTTAAACTAAAATGACTCAAGCATTTCGTGTCGACACATCTTCTGGCTGTATCAATAGAGTTTATGAAACGTTACATAAAAACACTGTAATAACCAACTGTTACAAGCGTAAGATTATGTTTTAGGTAAAGACCAAGCTTTAGACCGCAAAAAAAAAAAGTCAGATAAAACAGCCCGCTGTTCTGTTTTGTTCTGTTTTGCTGTGCTGTTTTGTTTGACTCCTGTTGATCTTAACGATTATGCAATCGCTCCCACGCTGGATTTTACTTCGCTATTGCTAAGCAGGTATTTTTTTTTACTAGATTGAGTTACTTAACCTATGAAATAGGTAGTAGAATACTACGCGCTATTATGCACTAATTCTGTTGTCTTCTTTTGTTCACTTGTAGCTATATTGCACTAGTAGTTATTATCTGTTTTTACGGATCAATTAAAATCACTCTATCATCACTGGATTTGAACTGTTCTGATATTCCTAAGATGGTAGAACCAATTACATTCGATTTGCATATCAGGTTTGTAAATACATGTACCGAAAAAGTTGTTCTTCTGCTCTAGCGAAAATGTAATAGAAACAACTATTTCCAAAACTCAGAGCAAAGAAATTTGGTATAAAACAAATCGAATATTTCTAAATCGCTCGAGCTTCATCAGCGATTCGGTTACGTAACAGAAAATTGGTACGTGCCGTATTGGTATTTAATTTCGCGGTACTTAATTTTGCGATGTTGCTGAGTCAGTATCTCGCGGTGTGTTATTTTCACCATTTCAAATGATGAAAAAAAAAGAAGGGTATTATATTTCGCCTTCTCAACTTCATTTTAGTTTTCAAAAAGTATGAACTTTTTGAAAACCTTATCTTTCTAGACAAACTGGAACAAGCAATTTGTGAAATCTTAATTAAAATTACCGTTGTTTCACAACCGAAGATACAAAACAGGGATACCCAACGACGGTTTCCACCTAAATGCACTGAAAACACTTTTTAGGCTATCCAGAGTACTTTCAGATCTCTAGAAATGCATTCTAAGAATTTTCCCTCCCCTTGTCTCGTCCTCTGCGTACGCTTCGCTTGCTCATAAAGCGCCTGCCGTGCAGGCTAGTCCAGTCCCTTGACCTGTTTCTAGTATTAGGGACTTTAAGATACACCGTTTCTGCCTACGGGTACGGTTAGGCAAACATATTTCCCACCCAGTTATACAAAAGGCGACTATGATTTCCCAGGTGTGATAATGCCATCACCGTTCCACCTGCTAGCCTTTCCGTTTCTCCGGGGTAAGAGGCCATATACCGGTACATGTATTTACTGCTAAGCGTACGAGTAATTTACCCATACCAGTACACGGAAACGGTGTATCTTAAGGAAGGGGGAAGGGGGGCTGTTAAGTGGTACGACTCACACAAGTCGTGCAAGTGCATCTCATTAGTGATATTATACATTTGAACGTAATTAATTGTTCTCTAAAATTTTCGAACTTTTGTGAAAAACTTACTGCGTCTACTTGTTTGTAATGCGTATTTACCCACGCCCCACCTGGAAACCAGCTTTCGTTGTGTGTGGTTAGCGTAGTAAAATAAATGCGATGATTTGTTGATTGATTGATACTTCGAATTTTTGAGCAAAGTTGTCGATCGTTCCAAATCCCTTTTTCTGCATCCTGCCTTGATTAAGGGGTGCAGAGACTACATCTACGAGGTTGGGTGATTCTTAATGCAGCTTTTAAACAAGTAGCCTTCCCCGCAGACATTCTTAGGCGGGAGTCACGCGTTCCTTCTCACGAATTCGTGGGGAAGAAACGCGTGACGCACGCCTAACAATGTCTGCGGGGGAGGCTATCAAACAAGTTGAACTTCTTGAAATAATATGCACACTGCATGATTGGGGAACTGGTTCTCGGCTATCAGGCTCTTTTTTGCTGTTGCTCAGTCATGAGTAATTGTGAGGTGATTGCAAATGGCCATGGCAAACAACTTAATTTTGGCAAATTATATAAATGTTCCAATGATCATCTAATCTTCTCTCCCTCGGTCCAACGCACACCTCACACAAAGAAACTGTCCCAGGTCCCCGCGTCAGAAACCACTGTTCCTCCATACAGCAAGGTCGGGAAAACGGAGTTTTCCTCTTGTGATTATCCCAATAATGCCAAAACTGATTTATGCAGTTATCTTTCATTGGCTGGCAGGTGTGCTATCCTGGAACCAGGTCCCGTGACATCATCAATAATAGGCAATGTGGAAGCCTGGACAAAAAAGTATGACAGGCCAACCACTGATCCGAAGACCACAGAAATATTTCAGACCTTTGAACAAAGGTTTTATACGGCGTTTGATGAGAACATGGTACAAAGTGGAAGTGAAGTCGCCGAGATTGTGAAAAATATCATACTCAGCGAGAAGCCAAACCTACGATACCATACAAATGAGAAGTTTAATCCGGAACAAGTGAAGGCCAAACTTTCTGATCCCACTGGCAATGTTCTGGTTGATTTGATGAACAAAACGTACATTGCTAAAGAATAGTCCGTATTGCTCCTTTTACCAGCGCTAATGGTCCTTGTTATTTAGTATGCTGTATTCATTTTCTAAAATCATATGACACTGTAAGCAAACTCGTTCATGATTTGTCAAGCAATAAATGGTTCAATCGTTTGTCATTTCCTAGTCTGTTATTTGAGTCTTCATAGCCAAAAACATCACAGCTTAACTGACAGACGACCGATGACATTCCAACTTAATTTTACCAATCAGGTCATGCACCTCACTTTGACTCTGAAGGTGACTAACGTTGTCGAAACGTCAGTCACTGTCAACAACAGTCCTATTCAGGACTACGCTGTGTAAGAGTAAAGACAATTAGCAATACTAATTTGGCAGTGTCAAGGCGAGTGATTTCCACCATTTCTTCTGCTCTACCAAAAAATGCAATCTTTTCCCCAGTGCTTCTCGGTTAGCGTCCTATTTTCTCGCGATTGCCCTGTACTTTTGACGTCATTTGCCGGATATCGCAAACGTCTTCCATATTTGGTCAACGCTAGCTGGTTATAGATAATTAGCCGTTGGATTTGAGCCAATCAGAAGCAGAAATGTTTTGAATGAATTACAACCATCCAACCTCTCAGACAACAGTAACATTCTGATCGGTTTCGGGGTCCGAGGAGTGGAGCGGAGCTTCATTAAACAATGAAGACGGTATATTTTATCCTATGTTTGTCGTGAGAAGGGACCGCTGGATCCAGGATATCATATAAAAACTTTATTTTTTACACGCCATACTTTTTAGGATTAATGACTCGAATAAAATGAACCAGTTTTTTGTTTGCTCTTGCCTTTCAATTAATTTTAGGTATAAGAGACTTTCGCGTCCGTTAATTTGAGCCATCTAGCAAATAAGTGCTCATTCAAGTCAATATTGTGTCATACTTGTCAGCCATCATCTTATCCTCCGTCTCCTTCATGCAAAACTCATTAGATGTCAAAGCAGCTTTTTACAATTTCGCGAATTTCCCGGTATCGACAAAAGTAGACTACAGGGTTAAGGGAGGAATTTAGGAAAACAAAAAATAAAGACGCATGGTAAACTAACAGCAGGGACGTTTGCTTGCCAATAATCAGCAACAACACCGCAGAAAAAAAATGCGGAAGATAACAAACCAGGAAAACTACATAAACGGCCAAACTATTCAAAGCAAATTTCTTCTGTCGCTTTTGATCCGGCGTGGATTGCTGGTTTCGTATTTGATTGTGATGATATTTTACTGCTTTATAAATACGGATGTAAGCCACAGTTGTCAAGGAAACTCCAAGAAATCCAACTACTGCATTTACTATACTATTGCCTGCCAAAATGGTAATAAATAGGGAGGCGGCGATGCCACTTGTGAACCATACTGCTATCAACGTAAGGCTGACAAGCTTTGATGTCACGAATTCGCGATATCGAAGATGCAGATGTATAGCCAGGAGTCTATCGACAGCAATGACTGAAATAGTCAGTAACGACGCGCAACAGAGGAGAAAAAAGATGAAGTAACAGGAAGTTATAACAACTGGACATAAAGAGGCAAAATTAGCGTCTCCGTTCGATTTCATTTTCAACATCACCGCGATGATAACACCAGACATTGATTGTCCTAACGTTCCCACTGCAAGGTCCGACAAAGCAAGACTCAGGAAAAACTTCTTCATAATGGTTGGTATCGATGAGCATTTCCACAGCGCGTAAATAACTAAAAGATTTCCCACAACTGACAACACGGAAAACACCAAGTTTAAAATACAAAAAACTAGCATACTTGTTCCGTGAAACTGAACAAGTGAAGATAACTCATGGAGCTTTTGAGTACAGAACTGAGAGACCATGGTAAAATAGATTCTATCAGTTCTTGTTGGAGTCTTACTGAGAACTGACGTGTTTGTAATTGGCCAACCTTATACGGCCCATATAAAACAGCTGACTCTTGACAAGACATGTCATAGCATTGCATTTAGGTTTTAATCGTCATCTTTATACACGAGTGTTTTTTCCTTAAAAGCAAACACGGCGGGTGGAATATTGAGAATATAAGGGAGCTTTCGCAAAGACGTACACTGAACGACGACGAATTTTGGTATCTCAATTGAAAAATCACAAATGATTGACGAGTTCGAGAAAAGATAGAGTTTTATCAATAACATTTCCACTGCTTTCGCAGTCAGTCGTAGTTAAGTAAGTTCGCCTTTAATTTTTGTTATCAAACAGTGAAATTTTCTAAAAGCGAGATATTTAAAACTGATTCTGTAATATTGTGCATGTTTTCTTTGCTGGTTAATGACGTCTCTAAATATTCACCTGGTCTACTTATAAAGTCAAACACCGTTAATTCGGACACCCCATTATTACGGACAGTTTTCATTATCCCTGGGGAAAGAAAGCCCTTACTTTTTCTCAACTTGTTTAATACGGACATCCCTGTTAATACGAACACTTTCTATGGCCCCCTAAGTCCGTATAAAGAGGCCGGATTGTAAGTTGACCCAGGTTATTTACTATTCAAATAAATATTTAAATGAATAAATGACTTAGTCGGTTGTGAAACATGTCAATTTATACATGAAGCGTGTTGAGTTTAAGGTTCAAGTAATTTACACAAACCCACCTCTAACCTGTTTCTTTAAGAAAAATAGAAGCACCTTATCGACGCGAGCAATGAAAAGTTTATCTGAGCGGAAATATGTTTGTTTTTTCTTAAAAATCAGCCTACTATATGAAAAAATATTATTATCTATCTTGCGAGTATAATGTCTAATGAGAAAAATTGAGACAGTCGCATACGGCCCAAAAGAAATACTTAATTGCTCAAGGTACTCTGTGATCTCGCAAGGTGGCTTTGTCCAGTCTTTATACATGTAGGTCAAAATCAAATCTCTATATCAGTCGGTCCTGGACTTGTAAAATTTGTCCTGGTTCTTCTATTTTACTGTCCAAGGTTACAAAGAGACAACTTGCATAATTGTGTATGACACCTGTCTCAAAATAATAGGATGGAGGTTTTTCTGGTAAGTTAGTGCTGTCATCGGAACTAGAAGATGCCATCGATTCGTCCAGAGCGGAGCTATGCAATCAGACTGTAACCAATGTCCCCGTTTCGTAAGAAAAAAAAAACTTCTATAGCGATTTATCTTCGACCGTTGAGGAATGTTTAAAGGATCCAACCAGAAATTCCAAATCCTGTTGAGCTGAAACGCTTTTCAGTAATTAACCTTAACTTTGGTTCAGTTATCGGCTGTGCGAGATCCATTTGTGGAGGTACGATAAAAACAAGCAACAAAAATGTGTAACTAGTTCTGCACCATTGCGGCAAAACAAGTCGAATAGCGACGTTGCGCGTTTTACCACCCACGATCAAACCTGCCTTGCAACAAATCAGGTTGTTACAGGTTGCTGAAAATTGCTTCAGAAAGTATAGGCTAGTAATACTTTTTGCAACAATAAATATGTTTATGTTGGGCTTCAGTTACCTGCCCAATGCAAACTTGTTTTGCAACTGAACAAGTGACGTAACTCGAGTGTATGGAGAGACTCCTGCGTACTTTTATCCAGTCAGAATTCAGTATTCACGCAAGTTGCAACTATAGTAGCTGATTTATTGCAAAACAGGTTTTAACGTGGGTGGTAAAACGAGCAATATTGCTTTTCAAGGCTTTTCAAGTCATTTGCAGCAATGATGCAAAACAACTCGCCGTTTTTGTTGCTCATTTTTCCAATCAGGTTAACAATACACCTCTCAGTTGTCACTTATGGCAATTTGAATTGAGAAATCCCTCTTAACTTTCAACTAACTTAATCTTGGCGTGCGTGTGACTGTTTTGTCGTCATGACCATTTCTTTCCTTTGAGCTTATTAAAAGTGAATCCGGCTTGCGTCGCTGCTTATACATTTAGTTGCTACGTGTTCTGTCGTGAATTGTAATACCTGTCGTAAATTGTAATAACAATCGTGGTAAATTGTAATATCTGTCGTAAATTGTAATGACAGCTAGTTGTCGAGAATTGTAATAACCAAGCTATCGTAAATTGTAATAAACGTTGTTGTAATTTGTAATAAGCCTAGCTGTCGTGAATTGTAATAACCGCATTTTGCAATACATCATAATGTCAAGGGCTTATCAAATGAAGTTTTCTTGTCAATCAGAAACATTTAAGCTATAATGTAGCCAGCATTAACACATCATACGGAAGAGCAGCGAAAGGAAAATAGCATATACCAATAGCTTTATGACATCGCGCTCAGACTCGCGATATATTTCAGAGTTTAACCAGCGCGGACAATCGATAGTACAGACACATCCTTGACTGAGTCAAAAATCTCTAACAACCGCTTGGCGTTAATAATTCAAAATCTCGGCCTTCAAGTATCGCCATCCGACAATGATCTGAAATGTTATAAACCTGTGCCTGACCCAGCGTGAAATAAATATTTACAGCAGTATATGCAGACCATAGGGGTGGGGGTGGGGGTTTGTTGTTCCACTTCAGTCCAAGATGGTAGTTTTTTCTTTGGATTCTCTTACCACACTGCCTTATCAGGGGTTTCAGTTTTCTTTATTTAAGATAGAGGGAAAAGATTCGCACAAATGTCAAACTGCATACAGACCATGAAAACTGAATAAAAGGTACGTAAACCTAATTTGTTGAAGTGTTTTTTAAAGGGGCTGGATTACGGCTGGCTACTTCATTTTGTTTATAATCATGTCAGTTACGCCTCCTTATTCGCAATTAACTTTTAAAAATTACTTGTAAATGACAAAATCACAGCTTTTGCCAAACAAATATATCTCCAAGGCATTATATCAAACTTTACAAAAGCTTACAAACAACAAAAATGAACTTTAAAAGACGAAGAGGCTAACAAGTCTTCGAAACCACAATTGCAATCCTTTTCAATATCTTCTTCAAGTTGGTCCATTTGCGCCTTTCTTTTGTATTCAGTTTGCTGTGTCATGTATACCTTAGCTTCTTCGAGCGGTTATTCATGTTTCACCCAGTTAGGTGGCAGTTCCGTCCTCTGTTTGAATTTTGATAAATCCGTGACGAAACTCCTTTAAGTAAAGCTAAGTAAGTTTGTTAAGTATCCTTTATCCTTAAGTTGTCTCTCTAATTCTCTCTTTTATTTCCTTTTTTTCTTTTAAGTTCCGTTTCTTCTGCAGGGGGGTTCAAGAGCTCCTCCTTGTGTACACATCCTATTTGGTGCCTTTATTTAATTTGTTTGTGACGCATACTTTCTTGCGTTCGTGTCACGCTCCTATCTTGTTTTTATTTTGTTACAAAAAAGAAAGACCAATATGCAAATCTATGACTGACCCCGACCTTTCGAGGTCATAAGGATCCCCAGATCAAAAAGGACATGTCTCTCCAAGTCGTGCTCATCTCTGGTTGTTCTAGCGGCATTGGATTCGCTACCGCTGTGTTTCTCGCTAAAGATGCCGAGAAACGCTTCAAGGTTTACGCCACCATGCGAAATCTGGCGAAGAAAGGACAACTGGAGGAAGAAGGGAAGGAACAACTTGGAGACACTTTGATTATCAAACAGATGGACGTGTGCAGTGATGAATCAGTCACGAAGGTTGTTAAAGAGGTGCTCGACGCTGAAGGGAAAATTGATGTGTTGTGTAAGTGGTTCCCGACATTGATAGTTATGTCCTTTTAACAATTTAAAAGTTCCTTTTCAGTACTGTATCAAATTGCATCGACCTCGCTATAGTCTAACGAATTTTTACGAAGTCTCATGCAGGCGCGATGACGCGACAGGACTCCAAATACGAAAGGGCTGGTAGCTCTTTTGGAAAGCCCTGACTCTAACTTTTGAAAGAGGTCAAAATTAAGTAATCGAAAGATGTTCTCTGGTTGACTGCTTTCTCTGCTCCTCTTGAATATTGCTGACCCGGGGCAATTTATAATTAATTCGCAATAGACAAAGTGGATTTTATATAGGTCAACACGCAATTTAAAAACAATCAAAGAAGTTGCTTTGAGTTCGCTTAAAAGAGACTAAAAAATGTTTGAGCTGCAAAATTGAATTGTGACCTTTCTTTTTAAGTTTTTATGAATGTGAAACTCAACAATAAGGATTTCTGACTTTGTCAGATTGAGCTGGGACAAACAATATAAGCATGACCAAGCAATATGCAAAGTAGGGGTTACGAAATCAAAACAGAAATATAAAGTAGGCGTTAATCACAATAGGAAAACTATTTGCAGAGCAAATAGATACCTGGGCTATTACGCCGGCGGCAAATAAAGTAAATAAAAGGTGGAAAGCGACAGGAAAAAGGGAATCGGCAACGGAACAATTACGCATGCGTGTCTGTGCTTAACATTTTGCAATGAATCAAGGAAGGGGCCATAAAAAAGAGAGGCAAGAAAAAAAAAACATTCAACATTCCCGATCCTAATTGTTGAAACGCTTGCCAGGTTTTCCTTCCCTTTCCTTTCAATGTTGACGTCGAAGACGTTTATGCCCAACCAAACGCGTAAAACCAACATTAAAGAAAGCCGGAGGGTAGCAATACGTGCATTCATGAAACGACTAAGTTTTAATTAATAAATATGTTGTGTTTTCCGGAAGTGTTTCAACCAATTATGACCTGGATTGCGTTCCCGGTCATAACTGAAGCGCTTGCAAAGTTTTCCATCCCTTTTCTTTCAATGGAAGACGTTTATGCCCAAGCAAACGCGTGAAACCAACTTTGAGGGAGGGGAGTAGGGAAGCAACACGTGTATTCATAAACCGACTAAGTTGATGTTGTGTTTTCGGAAAATGTTTCAACAAATTATGACCGGGTTTGAAGGGGCAGCGGGAAGCGAGATATTTGGATCTCCATCAATCCCCCTCCACTCTTCTCCCTTGTTATAATGAACCAGGTGGGCCTGGTAACAAAACGAACAGTAATTATTAAAAACTGAATCATTGGATAATGCAATTCTAGCATTTTGATTGGCTTAGCCGTTATGGTATATGAGCTATTATACCATGCTCTCCATATATGGTCGATGTACGCGTCAGTTTAAAATTGGAAGCTAGCTGAGATTTTTTTTCGCGAAGGATAGAACGGCGCCCGAAGCAAATCGTTTTAATTCATTTCTTAGAATACTAGAAATGCATGCAATTTAATCGACAGAAAAAAGACAAAAACAAACAAAAAAGCCACAAGAGCTTGTTTGAAAGTTTTTCGAAAAACACATGAAAATACATGGAACTAAAGTACCTTGACCAGCTACGAAAGAGGACAGGTGATGTTTCTTCATGATCGCGAAGCCATTCGCCGATCGAGTCACTCGCCGATAGATAACTGCGGCTTGTTTATCCGACATCAAGAATATAAATCACAAGTAACCAGCTACAATTAAAGGCTATACAGCCATTCACTAGAGCAATCGAGGCGGCAGTATAGCTTCTTTTCTCGTTCAGCAAAACGAGTTTGTGGCTTCAAACAACTTCATAAGAAGCCACCGAGGTAATAGTTTTTATCCGTTGTTGTTACTTTTGTAACTGCACCGAAAATCCAGATTCACAGTAATTTCGACGGCTGTCACTTAAAAATTCTTTTCCTTCACATTATATGCCAGGTTTTTTTAGCTGTCCTGCTGTGTAAAATCCTAGAATCCCGTTGAGTTTTTAAAAAAGTTAATCTTCATCGCTGCAATGTTTTGATTTTTCATTCATGCAGTCCAGGCGAGTCCGTTCGCGCGTTGACAGTTTTGATAGACGTGTGACATGTGAACAGCGGAAGTCCCTTGTCTTTTCCGGTTTGTTCTAGTAGGGGAGATTCAACGAGTTTTTGTTGGCGTTTTTAATAAAACAATTATTCCACTCGCGCTTGTTGGATATGAGATGATTATAGCCAACTCGGCGCTACGCGCCTCGTTGGCTATCTTATCATCTCATATCCAACGCGCCCTCGTGGAATAATTGTTAAATAATACCTTGATGCTCAACAGTCAACAACGCTGGAATAGGATTGTTATCCATAATGGAGTGTGTCCCAGTGGACATGGCTAAGGAATTGTTTGAAGTAAACTTCTTTGGTACCTTGCGACTGATCCAAGCTGTGCTGCCAAGCATGAAAGAGAGAAGGAGCGGGTGTATAATTAACAACACCAGCTATGCTGGAATTGTTGGAGTACCTTTCAGTGAGATTTACTCATCTTCAAAGTTTGCAGTGGAGGGCCTTACTGAAGCAATGGCTCCAACCTTGCTTCATTTTAATATCAGGTAAAGTAGACCAAAGTTATTCAAACGTTGGATAGCTCTTTCCAACTTAGCTGATAGAGATTCATCCATTGGATAGCGTTTTGCAACTTTTAAACAACTTGTGCCAGGACGTTAGAAGCCACAGGCAAACCATTCTATACCTGGGTATAGGTTGATATTTCTGGAATACCCTTCAATGAGCTTTACGGTGCTACTCAGTTTAATAGTTTGCAGATAAGAAACTAAAATACGGCCTCAGCTGTAAAATCTGTAACATGTCCTGCCCTGGCTTACTACCTTATGGCTGCTTCTGTGGCAGCCTTTTGTTTATACTGCTGCTGCTACAAAAGCGAGCACAGGCAAACCATGCTAGACTGGGTCAGTTAGGTGTTGTTAGAATAACCATTTATGAGTTGATTTTATTCTAGTTTACTTAAAGTTTATAGTTTTGCTGTAAGAGATGGCGCCAATATCGTATACATTAAATTTCCAGATCTTCAGCAATTATTGGAAGAGGCTGGGTACGATCTGAAGAATTATGTAGATCATTTAAGACGGAATCCGGTGGAGAAAACCCTGTACCAGAATAATTGAAACAATATCGCATTCGTTTTTACCCGCGTACGTTTTCTTCAAATACTGAGGCGCGGTCGCTAAGCACGCGGTGTATTTTCTTAAAACTTTTTAGGGCTAACAGCGTGCACTTAGTTTCTCATTTGACAAGAACGCTCGGTTACAAAGACTTTGAGTCCAACCGAGGCAAAGCGTGTTTTCAGGGTTCTTTGGGGAGTAGTTCGGCTATTTCCTCTACGCTTAACGCGTGAAATTTTTTCGCCATTTTCTACAGCTTTAACAAAATTCCTGAGCTGCGCAGCCTCGTCCCCAGAGCTACTCGGTTGCCGTTTTTCCTTCCTCTAACGTTTCCCAGATTCTTTTGTGGACCTACACATTCCATGAAGTAATTAACACTGTGCATTTAATCTAAGTTGAATGCGTTGCTTAAACTAAACTATACCTTCTACAGCACGCACTACCCGGCCCGATAATGAACCTCTATATAACGAAGTCCTTGGTATACCGAATGATTTTCTTTACCCCAGTAATAGTAAGACAAATGATAAAGAAGTTCAAAATAAAGAAACCTCGTTATAGCGAACAAATTTTGTCAGTCCCTTGACCCCCCCTCTCTCTCCCTTATATCGAGGTTTCACTGTACAGTATTATATTAAAAATCCATTAAAGAAGATGTAATCTCCACAGCCTTCTAACTAGCCATACATCCTTTCTTTACCCCTGGCAGGTGCTCTCTACTTGAACCAGGTCCCGTTGGGACGGTACTTGTCGGAAACATGGAAGCCTGGCACAAGAAATATGACAAGCCAACTGCTGATGAGGAGTCTTCGAAACTGCTTCAGACCTTCACAGGAAATTCATGGCCGATAGCTCTTAAGGAGATGCAAGATGTCAAGGAAGTCGCAGAGATTGTGAAAACGATCGTACTTAGCGACAAGCCAAACCTACGATATCAAACAAATAAGAATTTCCACCCCGATGAAGTAAAGGCCAAACTCACTGATCCTACTGGGAATGTTATGGTTGATTTGATGGTCAAAAAGTACTTCGATAAAGAATAGTTCGTATACTGTTAACAAGTTGATGCATGAATGTTATTCCACGTGTAAGTCATTAAAGCCTTTTATATTTGATTGTCAAATGGAAAATCATATATAGTCAAGAAGTAAGTTTCCTCAAGACCCCGAGACACTTTCATGATTTGGCCGGCAAGCGTTTACTCGAATAGAGACTCTAAGGTCAGCAAAACAAACTTGAAAGATTCCGATTTACTGATGCTGGGTGTCTTTTCATCTAAAGTCATTTTTCTCCGTATAGGCTGTATAACGCTTTCATGGGTCACAGCGTATTACACTTTGGATGGGATTTTTCAGGGCTAATACCCCCAAGTTTGACCATTAATCCCAGATTGGATCCCAGATTCCTTGACAGTGGAAGGGATTGCCATCGTAAACGGGATTCCTTATTTCTTGTGCTGATTTCCGGATTTCAAAGCCCAGGGCCGATTTGTTCGAAGCTGGGTTAAGTTAACCCAGGGTTAGTGCGAGATTTGAATTCAGATTTGAAAGCTTTAAAACCATTCCAGTTTCAATTCTTTCTGTCTACAAGTTGATGATTGGAAGCTCTAAATTTTTCAGAGAAAATTATCCGAGAAAATGCTTTGAACACAAGAAAAAAAAACCGGGGTTAAATTTAACCCCGGGTTAAGCGCTAATCGGCCTTCTAACAACTGAGCCCAGGGTTGCGGATTCCACAAGAAAAAAAAAACTTTCCTTGTTTTAGGATTCCACAAGCAAAAACTCCCCGGATTTTGGAAACTGGATTACCTTACATGGGGTGAATCAGGGTAGCCTGTGAAATATCGAGGAGGCGAGCGCACGTTCTAGTCGCGCGCTCTATAAAAGATAACCAAAAACCTAACTTGCCATAAACCAATCATAAAAACCACCATCAAAGCCAACACGATGACAATAATCAAAGCCATCATGAAAACCATCATAGTCGTCAAAGTTAAAGAATGAGAGGGAACAGCACTCATAAAATTTTACCAACACTGTTATTCCTAGCTTTCGAAAACATCCGTCTCTCCACGCTCTTTTCAGGACGTTTCGCTAAACGAAACGCCCCTAGCACGGCGTCGAGGAGAGAAGGCTGAATTCGCCGGCATGTCAACCTCAACATAAATTTTTAAGCATTATCACCTTTAACCTTTCAATCACCATGAGTCCATGATTAACACCACCACCGGCGGGCTGGCCGTCAAACAACCTACATCGCACAACCGGTACCATCATCTTTCTTATCATTATCACTATGGTAACTACCGGTCATCAGGTTATCAACACCGTGGTTACCGGTATCCCCATTACCCTACATAAGAAATACGTGTATCGCAGACCCTTGCGATTAAAAGATAGAAAAAGAGCTAATAGCCAAAGAGTTACGCTGCAGTTGGCCCATTTTCAAGCTCGGGCGTCCCCATAGAAGAAGACATTGGAACATTTGGTCATCTTTCTGTAAAACTTAATTAAAAGAACGCCGCGCCGGCCGCGCCTTTAAAATTGACTAAATACGGTAAGTTTACGGACGCATAGCTCGCGCCCCCGAAATCCGCATCCCCTTCCCTTTAGAACTATATATAGAAGGCTGAGAAATTTCTTGTACCTGGTTTATGACAGGCGCCTATTACCTTCCGTCACCTCCTGTCACAATGCCTCCAGCCCAGGTGTTTTTAGGTCTTTCGTCACACGTTCCTGCCCCATGAATGAATGAATGAATGAATCCTGGATTAATGAATGAATGAATGAATGAATGAATGTACGAAGTTTATTGCCTGAGGGGCTTTTCAGCGATACAACACAATATTAGAAACCGTCAATGCATATAAGTAATGAAATTAAAAAAATATTGTTTTCATATTTACTTACGAAAAACTATTTATCTAAGTTTCCGTTTAAAATTACTGTGATACTGAATACAATGTTAAAACCTGCATCGCATTATAAAATCGCCACAAATATATAAAATAATAAAAATAGTTACTAAAAGTATTATGCATATTCAGGAGCTTCCCGGATTAAGGAATTTCTGTAACACTATTTGCCTCAGGAACGGGTGACGAAGCCCACACGAGTGCGGGCTTCAGGAGATAGTTTTTTCTTTTTGGCGCCAAAAAAAATTCCTGATCGCAGGTTACATGGGAAAGAGAAAATTGACCTCCCGGACGTAAAAAATAATGGCAACCGAAAGTTGGTACTTTAAGTGCTCTGACTCGACAAATTTTTACAGCAGGAAATAAAACAAAGGAATTCACATTCGTTGTGTGCGGCAGAAGGGTCCATCAAGCAAGATATCGAATTCCGGTTGTTATTCATGACGTCCGGGACGTCAGCGTGACTTAAACTAAGCTAGCTAATACGTCAAATTCGATCACTTAAGACCTGGCTTTCTTCGCACGCAAATCAACATAGGCATGTCTTCACAGATCGTGCTGATCTCCGGTTGTTCTAGCGGCATTGGACTCGCTACCGCTGTGCATCTGGCTAAAGATGCCGACAAACGCTTCAAGGTTTATGCCACCATGAGAAATCTGGCGAAGAAAGGACAACTGGAGGAAGAAGGAAAGGAACAACTTGGAGACAGTTTGATCATCAAACAGATGGACGTGAGCAGTGATGAATCAGTCACGAAGGTTGTTAAAGAAGTGCTCGACGCTGAGGGAAAAATTGATGTGTTGTGTAAGTGCGTGAAATATCGTTTTATTTTCAGACTTAGATAGTTTATTTATTTATTTCATTTATGCTCCTTTTCGCCAAGGAAATATATTTAACATCATTGTATAAAAACAAGGGGTTCGCGATCGCATCACAGGCAGGTATGTACCCCGTGGGCACTATGAAGGCTTGCCTGTGCCAGGCTCTCAGATAGTATAGTGGGAAAGTATTAAAACGAGCAAAGCGAAAATAAGACGCGCACGACTTGGGAAAGGGGGCACGTTTTTCGCATTTCTTATCACTGAACGACTTTCCACCCCTTTCCACCACCATCTCGGGGCCTGGAACAGGCTATATGAAGGCCCGGGAGAGGTCCTGCCCGAAAGCGTTACCTTTTTCAGGCTTTACGTATAAAGGACAAATTTGTGATTTAGGTGTTTTAAACTAAACAGTGACTCAAGCATTTCGTGTCGACACATCTTCTGGCTGTATCAATAGAGTTTATGAAACGTTACATAAAAACACTGTAATAACCAACTGTTACAAGCGTAAGATTGTGTTTTAAGTAAAGACCAAGCTTTAGACCGCAAAAAAAACAGTCAGATAAAACAGCCCGCTGTTCTGTTTTGTTCTGTTTTGCTGTGCTGTATTGTTTGACTCCTGTTGATCCTAACGATTATGCAATCGCTCCCACGCTGGATTTTACTTCGCTATTGCTAAGCAGGTATTTTTTTACTAGAGTGATTTACTTAATCTATGAAATAGGTAGTAGAATACTACGCGCTATTATGCACTAATTCTGTTGTCTTCTTTTGTTCACTTGTAGCTATATTGCACTAGTAGTTATTATCTGTTTTTACGGATCAATTAAAATCACTCTATCATGACTGGATTTGAACTGTTCTGATATTCCTAAGATGGTAGAACCAATTACATTCGATTTGCATATCAGGTTTGTAAATACATGTACCGAAAAAGTTGTTCTTCTGCTCTAGCGAAAATGTAATAGAAACAACTATTTCCAAAACTCAGAGCAAAGAAATTTGGTATAAAACAAATCGAATATTTCTAAATCGCTCGAGCTTCATCAGCGATTCGGTTACGTAACAGAAAATTGGTACGTGCCGTATTGGTATTTAATTTCGCGGTACTTAATTTTGCGATGTTGCTGAGTCAGTATCTCGCGGTGTGTTATTTTCACCATTTCAAATGATGAAAAAAAAAAGGGTATTATATTTCGCCTTCTCAACTTCATTTTAGTTTTCAAAAAGTATGAACTTTTTGAAAACCTTATCTTTTTAGACAAACTGGAACAAGCAATGTGTGAAATCTTAATTAAAATTACCGTTGTTTCACAACCGAAGATAACAGGGACACCCAACGACGGTTTCCACCTAAATGCATTGAAAACACTTTTTAGGCTATCCAGAGTACTTTCTGATCTCTAGAAATGCATTCTAAGAATTTTCCCTCCCCTTGTCTCGTCCTCTGCGTACGCTTCGCTTGCTCATAAAGCGCCTGCCGTGCAGGCTAGTCCAGTCCCTTGACCTGTTTCTAGTATTAGGGACTTTAAGATACACCGTTTCTGCCTACGGGTACGGTTAGGCGAACATGTTTGCCACCCAGTTATACAAAAGGCGACTATGATGTCCCAGGTGTGATAATGGCATCACCGTTTCACATGGTAGCCTTTCCGTTTCTCCGGGGTAAGAGGCCATATACCGGTACATGTATTTACAGCTAAGCGTACGAGTAATTTACCCATACCCGTACACGGAAACGGTGTATCTTAAGGTCTCTACTAATGCATGTTGGTATTCATCAGTTAATAATGCCGGACTGGGATTGATTACACCATTGGAATGTACTACTATGGAAATGGCCAAGGAATTGTTTGAAGTGAACTTCTTTGGTGCCCTGCGACTGATCCAAGCTGTGCTGCCAGGCATGAAAGCCAGGCAGAATGGGTGCATCATTAACAACAGCAGTCATGGTGGTATTGTTTCTTGTCCCTTCCTTGAGCTTTACTGTTCTTCAAAGTTTGCAATGGAGGGCCTTACTGAGGGGATGGTGCCCTTGATGCTTCATTTTAATATCAGGTACTAAATGTACGTTTACTCGACCACAGAATCCGCCGTACGGAAAAAGATGGCGGCAGTACAGTTTACCACAATTCCTTTCGAACCTAACACGGCCAATTAAACATAAAGTCATATTTTGGGGGGAGGGGGCAACATTGCCTTCTTAAAACCCTGAGCAATTTTAATGCGCTAAGAACATTGCCTATCCTAGGTTTGAAGTTTATAAAACATTATCATTATGTCCAAAAAATGTTTTGGAAGTTTGACCGAATGTTCACCCGTGCATGTTACTCTAAGTTCATAAATGGCTACTGTTACAATTCGGAAATATGAACTAGTAGTAAATGGGAGATATTTCAGTGTGATAATATGAACTATCAGATAGTTCAAGGGCATCTCTTTTGCACTAATCACCGGGCGTATAGCAGCCACACTTAAAATTTTAGAAACAAGTTTTTTTAGATAGACTTCGAACAGTCTCTCTTTCTTGTTAGCCCATCGAGCGAAACGGGCAAGACACGCAAATGACCATGCACGTGGAAGGGGAGGAGGGGTTTCTGTTAAGTGGTACGACTCACACAAGTCAAAATTTTGCAAGCATTGCATCTCATTAGTGATATTATACATTTGTACGTAATTAATTGTTCTCTAAAATTTTCGAACGTAATTTTGGTCTCTGAAAAACTTACTGCTTCTACTTGTTTGTAATGCGTATTTACCCACGCCCCACCTGGAAGCCAGCTTTCTTTGTGTGTGGTTAGCGTAGTAAAATAAATGCGATGATTTGTTGATTGATTGATACTTCGAATTTTTGAGCAAAGTTGTCGATCGTTCTACATCCCTTTTTCTGCATCCTGCCTTGATTAAGTGGTGCAGAGACTACCTCTACGAGGTTGCGTGATTCTTAATGCAGCTTTTAAACAAGTAGCCTCCCCCGCAGACATTCTTAGGCGTGCGTCACGCGTTCCTTCTCACGAATTCATGGGGAAGAAACGCGTGACGCACGCCTAAGAATGTCTGCGGGGGAGGCTATTAAACAAGTTGAACTTCTTGAAATAATATGCACACTGCATGATTGGGGAACTGGTTGGCTATCAGGCTCTTTTTTGCTGTTGCTCAGTCATGAGTAATTGTGAGGTGATTGCAAATGGCCATGGCAAACAACTTAACTTTGGCAAATTATATAAATGTTCCAAAGATCATCTAATCTTCTCTTCCTCGGTCCAACGCACACCACACACAAAGAAACTGTCCCAGGTCCCCGCGTCAGAAACCACTGTTCCTCCATACAGCAAGGTCGGGAAAACGGAGTTTTCCTCTTGTGATTATCCCAATAATGCCAAAACTGATTTATGCAGTTATCTTTCATTGGCTGGCAGGTGTGCTATCCTGGAACCAGGTCCCGTGACATCATCAATAACAGGCAATGTGGAAGCCTGGACAAAAAAGTATGACAGGCCAACCACTGATACGAAGACCACAGAAATATTTCAGACCTTTGAACAAAGGTTTTATACGGCGTTTGATGAGAACATGGTACAAAGTGGAAGTGAAGTCGCAGAGATTGTGAAAAATATCATACTCAGCGAGAAGCCAAACCTACGATACCATACAAATAAGAAGTTTAATCCGGAACAAGTGAAGGCTAAACTTTCTGATCCCACTGGTAATGTTCTGGTTGATTTGATGAACAAAACGTACATTGCTAAAGAATAGTGCGTATTACTCCTTTTACCAACGCCGATGGTCCTTGTTATTTAGTATGCTGTATTGATTTTGTAAAATCATATGGCACTGTAAGCAAACTCGTTCATGATTTGTCAAGCAATAAAAGGTTCAATCGTTTGTCATTTCCTAGTCTGTTACAAATAGCAATTTTCGTTTCTAGAGGGATGATCACCACCATGATAACGCAGGTCGTCGTCACGAAAACCACAGTAATGTTATCACTAGTTATCGCTGCTCGCGTCTGACAACCATCTTCGAAGCTAATCTTTAGTATTAATCCCAAGATATTTGTGATCACCATCATCGATCTTTAACTGCTCCACCATCAAATTATTGCCATTCATCACCTCCAATACCTACATACAGTTAACATTGAAATAACCATAATTTATAACACCATCAGCAGCATATAATTGAGAAAAACAACATTTAAGTGAGTGTTTATGAGCATAACCATCACTATGACAGCCACCGACCAACAACTCCGTGTAACTTGTAAACAACTTATTGACGGACTCGAACAAAACTGACAACGACAGAAATGACTGATAACCGACAATTTGACTAACAATAAATAACTGTTCAACTGTGACAAAAAGACAGATCGAAACTGGGCAATGACATTTGAGTCTTCATAGCCAAAAAACATCACAGCTTAACTGACAGACGACCAATGGCATTCCAACTCAACTGACCAATCAGGTCAATAACCAGAGTTTAATACCATCATCTAACGTCATACAACTCATTTGAACTCTGAAGGTGACTAACGTTGTCGCGAAACGTCGGTCACTGTCAACAACAGTCCTATTCAGGACTACGCTGTGTAAGAGTAAATTAAGACAATTAGCAATACAAATTTGGCAGTGTCAAGGCGAGTGACTTCCACCATTTCTTCTTCTCTGCCAAAAAATGCAACCTCTTCCCCAGTGCTTCTCTGTTAGCGTCCTATTTTCTAGCGATTACCCTGTACTTTTGACGTCATTTGCCGAATATCGCAAACGTCTTCCATATTTGGTCAACACTAGCTGGTTATGGATAATTAGCCGTGGGATTTGAGCCAATCAGAAGCAGAAATGTTTTGAATGAATTACAACCATCATAATCACCACCAACTCCTCTCAGACAACAACAACATTCTGATCGGTTTCGGGGTTCGAGGAGTGGAGCGGAGCTTCATTAAACCAAGAACACGGTATATTTTATCATATGTTTATCATACGGACCGCTGGATCCAGGATACTATATAAAAACTTTATTTTTTTCACTTGTTGGAAAAAAATGCCATACTTTTTAGGATTAATGAATCGAATAAAATTCACCTGTTTTTTGTTTGCTCTTGCCTTTCAGCTGGTTTTAGTTACAAGAGACTTTCGCGTCCGTTAATTTGACCCATCTAGCAAATAAGTGCTCATTCAAGTCAATATTGTGTCATACTTGTCAGCCATCATCTTATCTTCGGTCTCCTTTATGCAAAACTCATTAGATGTCAAAGCAGCTTTTTACAATCTCGCGAATTTCTCGGTATCGACAAAAGTAAACTAAAGGGTTAAGGGAGGAATTTAGGAAAACAAAAAATAAAGACGCATGGTAAGCTAACAGCAGGGACGTTTGCTTGCCAATGATCAGCAATAACACCGCAGAAAAAAAATGCGGAAGATAACAAACCAGGAAAACTACATAAACGGCCAAACTATTCAAAGCAAATTTCTTCTGTCGCTTTTGATCCGGCGTGGATTGCTGGTTTCGTATTTGATTGTGATGATATCTTACTGCTTTGTAAATACGGATATAAGCCACAGTTGTTAAGGAAACTCCAACAAATCCAACGACTGCATTTACTATACTATTGCCTGCCAAAATGGTAATAAATAGGGAGGCGGTGATGCCACTTGTGAACCACACTGCTATCAACGCAAAGCTGGCAAGCTTTGATGTCACGAATTCGCGATATCGAAGATGCAGATGTATGGCCAGGAGTCTATCGACAGCAATGACTGAAATAGTCAGAAACGACGCGCAACAGAGCGGAAAAAAGATGAAGTAACAGGAAGTTATAACAACTGGACAAAATGAGGCAAATTTAGCGTCTCCGTTCGATTTCATTTTCAACATCACCGCGATGATAACACCAGACATTGATTGTCCTAACGTTCCCACTGCAAGATCCGACAAAGCAAGACTCAGGAAAAACTTCTTCATAATGGTTGGTATCGATGAGCATTTCCACAGCGCGTAAATAACTAAAAGACTTTCCACAACTGCTAACACGGAAAAAAACAGGTTTAAAATACAAAAAACCAGCATACTAGTTCCGTGAAACTGAACAAGTGAAGATAACTCATGAAGCTTTTGAGTACAGAACTGAGAGACCATGGTAAATAAATTTTAAGTCCATTTATCAGTTCTTGTTGGAGTCTTACTGAGAACTGACGTGTTTGTAATTGGCCAGCCTTATACGGTCCATATAAAACAGCTGAATCTTGACAAGACATGTCATAGCATTCCATTTAGGTTTTAATCGTCATCTTCATACACGAGTGTTTTTTTCCTTAAAAGCAAACACGGGGGGGGGTGTGGAATATTGAGAATATAAGGGAGCTTTCGCAAAGACGTACACTGAACGACGACGAATTTTGATATCTCCATTGAAAAATCACAAATGATTGACGAGTTCGAGAAAAGATAGAGTTTTATCAATAACATTTCCACTGCTTTCGCAGTCAGTCGTCGTTAAGTAAGTTTGCCTTTAATTTTTGTGATCAAACAGTGAAATTTTCTAAAAGCGAGATATTTAAAACTGATTCTGTAATATTGTGGATGTTTTCTTTGCTGGTTAATGACGTCTCTAAATATTCACCTGGTCTACTTATTAAGTCAAACACCTTTAATTCGGACACCCATACGGACAGTTTTCATTATCCCTGGGGAAAGAAAGCCCTTACTTTTTCTCAACTTGTTTAATACGGTCATCCCTGTTAATACGGACACTTTCTTTGGCCCCCTAAGTCCGTATAAAGAGGCTTGATTATAATTTTTAAGTTGACCCAGGTTATTTAGTATTCAAATAAATATTTAAATGACTTAGTCGCTTGTAAAACATGTCAATTTATACATGAAGCGTGTCGAGTTTAAGGTTCAAGTAATTTACACAAACCCACCTCTAACCTGTTTCTCCAAGAAAAATAGAAGCACCTTATCGACGCGAGCAATGAAAAGTTTATCTGAGCGGAAATATTTTTGTTTTTTCTTAAAAATCAGCCTACTATATGAGAAAATATTATTATCTATCTTGCGAGTATAATGTCTAATGAGAAAAATTGAGACACTCGCATACGGCCCAAAAGAAATACTTAATTTGCTCAAGGTACTCTGTGATTTCGCAAGGTGGCTTTGTCCAGTCTTTATACATGTAGGTCAAAATCAAATCTCTATATCAGTCGGTCCTGGACTTGTACAATTTGTCCTGGTTCTTCTATTTTACTGTCCAAGGTTACAAAGAGACAACTTGCATAATTGTGTATGACACCTGTCTCAAAATAATAGGATGGAGGTTTTTCTGGTAAGTTAGTGCTGTCATCGGAACTGGAAGATGCCATCGATTCGTCCAGAAAGGAGCTATGCAATCAGACTGTAACCAATGTCCCCGTTTCGTAAAAAAAAAATACTTCTATAACGATTTATCTTCGACCGTTGAGGAATGTTTAAAGGATCCAACCAGAAATTCCAAATCCTGTTGAGCTGAAACGCTTTTCAGTAATTAACCTTAACTTTGGTTCAGTTATCTGCTGTTCGAGATCCATTTGTGGAGGTACGATAAAAACAAGTAACAAAAATGTGTAACTAGTTCTGCACCATTGCGGCAAAACGAGTCGAATAGCGACGTTGCGCGCTTTACCACCCACGATCAAACCTGCCTTGCAACAAATCAGGTTGTTACATGTTGCTAAAAATTGCTTCAGAAAGTATAGGCTAGTTTTACTTTTTGCAACAATAAATATGTTTATGTTGGGCTTCAGTTACCTGCCCAATGCAAACTTGTTTTGCAACTGAACAAGTGACGTAACTCGAGTGTATGGAGAGACTCCTACGTACTTTTATCCGGTCAGAATTCAGTATTCACGCAAGTTGCAACTATGGTAGCTGATTTATTGCAAAACAGGTTTTAAAGTGGGTGGTAAAACGAGCAAAATTGCTTTTCAAGGCTTTTCAAGTCGTTTGCAGCAATGATGCAAAACAACACGCAGATTTGAATTCGTTGCTCATTTTTCCAATCAGGTTAGCAATACACCTCTCTCAGTTGTCATGGCAAATTGAATTGAGAAATGCCTCTTAACTTTCAACCAACTAAATCTTGGCATGCGTGTGGCTGTTTTGTCATCATGACCATTTTTTTCCTTTGAGCTTATTAAAAGTGAATCGCTTGCGTCGCTGCTTATACATTTAGTTGCTACGTGTTCTGTCGTGAATTGTAATACCTGTCGTAAATTGTAATAACAATCGTGGTAAATTGTAATATTTACTATTCAATAACATTGTTGCACTAAATCACTGATTCAGGGAAATTATCAGGGGTAATATATACTAAACGTGCTAAAACAAACATCAATATTTTTTATATTGCATACACATGTAATATTAAAAATATTGCAGCTTTCACGCTGCAATATTAAAAACCAGTCTGAATTATCAAGGACACCAAACACTGGCAGTTGAATTGTTACAATATTCAAATAACCAAGCTATCGTAAATTGTGATAAACGTTGTCGTAATTTGTTAAATAAGCCTAGATCTCGTGAATTGTAATAACACATTGTCGTATTTTGCAACACTTCATAATGTCAAGGGCTTATCTACTGAAATATTTTCTTGTCAATCAAAAAGATTTAAGCTATTATGTAGCCAGCAGTTAACACATCGTCGTACGAAAGAGTCTATTAATTTTACCCTGCGAACAGACGTTTAAGAGAGAAACCTCTGCTCGTGGGGTAACTAATATGGGCTCTTAAGAATTAGCTTAACTGTATGTGTGCGAAGAAAGCACGATTTTTAGTGTTGTTATTTCATGCGATTTGAGAATGGGAAGACTGCAAACAGCGCCGTTTTTGTGTCGATCAAGAACGCGTGGAGAGAAAGAAAAGTGTTCTGGGCGTGCCAGGCTCAACTCGCGAAACGAAAATTTCACACAGAGCGGGAGCCTTGAAAAACCGATTTAAAGGGAAAAACAAACTTTTTTGAAGTCTAGAAAACGATAAGCATACCATGAAAAATTATGCTATATAATGCACAAAAAAATTAACTACACATATCGCTTTAAGGGAAAAGGCGTGAAAAATAGGCTCATCAGAGTTAATCAGCATATTACGCGACAGAAAGTGGTTACAAACGAATGACCTTGCTCGATATTGCTGCTGTGTGATTGCCACCTCACCTAACAGATAATATATAAAAATAACCATTGACGTCCAGCCCTAGTCAAACTCTTTAATTTAAGGCTCAGCGTTAGCAGGTTTCTGACTAGACGTTTTGTGTAACTGGCCACTGATGATTTTAAATATAGAGCATTTCTTATTTCATCAGTATTGCGCCTGCACCACGGAGCATGACGCTAGATTACAAAGTAAAATTTTTCAGTCTTCTTTGTTCTGGATCATCATGACCAAGCTTCTTACAAACGCATAAAATAGCGAAGTTCACTGACTCAGAGTTAACGAAAAGCGATACAAGTACGTGTGAAGCTAAAGAAAATACAAGCAAGGTAAGGTGCTGATCTTTTTTCGAATTCATTCACTAGATTTGGTACGTACATCTTTCGAATGTTAGGCTTGTGAAGATTATTTACATTGAAAGCTTAAGTTTGGAAATCCGAATTTCAATTACACTCGAATGGTTTCTAGTCAAGTTACAGATTTAAACTGCTAGCTCCTAAGGGTAAAAGAAAACATGTATAAATCTCCCAGTGGCATTCTTTTTTCGTGACCACTGAAGTTATGGAAGTTAAAAATATTAGCTTAAGTTCATGTCAAGTAATCGTGCCTGTTCGTCCCTGTCTAAAGAGAGCGAGTTTTAATAGTTTTTACGCAGGTGCACAGCAATGTAATTAAAAACACTTATCTCCGGCTACAACCGCAACGGGACGTGGGTGCAAAGTTGTTGATTTGCTAATCTACACCTATTGCTTTTTTGCCGTTCTCGTTGCCGAGTTGCGTAGAAATATTACCACAGAGGATAGAGACGAATTCCTTTCTCTCTTTCACAGTGCTTTGTGACCTTTTAGCTGTTGTTTGGATACACTAAAGACCGACTCAGATGGCTCCTCAAATCGTGCTCATCTCCGGTTGTTCTAGCGGCATTGGACTCGCTACCGCTGTGCTCCTCGCTAAAGATGCCGAGAAACGCTTCAAGGTCTATGCCACCATGAGAAATCTGGCGAAGAAAGGACAACTGGAAGAAGAAGGGAAGGATCAACTCGGAGACACTTTGATTATTAAACAGATGGATGTGTCGAGTGATGAATCCGTCAAGAAATCCGTACATGAAATACTCGATACTGAGGGAAAAATCGACGTGTTGTGTAAGTTGCCATAAAATAGAAGCTTTCAATCCTCGGGGTTTTGACCCCCTCCTCCCAAGCTTTTAGGTTACCTTGCAATAATTTGCAGCGATTTTAAACACTTCATAGAAAGACGTGATGAGATCTAGAAGATGTTGTAAACACATAAATGACCGCCAATTTCATCTTAGGTGTCATAAGACGTCAAACGAGGAGCAAGTGAAGAACCGAAGGTCCTAAATACATATTCAAGCCTGGGTTTTAAAAAGAAAATACCAGAAGAGAAAGGGATGGAGGGTGGGGGAGGGGCGTGGTATCTTCTCAGCCCCGCGAAATATATCTTGGGCCCATGACAGCACCAACGTCGATACCACTGAATTAGATTGAATATTAATATTATGACAACTATACGTCAATGTTCAACTTGCAGTTAACAATGCTGGATTAGCATTATCGTCCCTGTTGGAGTGTGTCCCAATCAACATGGCCAAGGAATTGTTTGAAGTGAACTTCTTTGGTACCCTTAGATTGATTCAAGCTGTGCTGCCAGGTATGAAAGCAAAGAGGAGTGGCTTCATCATCAACAACAGCAGCCATTTTGGAATTGTTGGCCCACCATTCTACGATCTCTACGCTGCGTCTAAGTTCGCCGTGGAGGGACTTACTGAAAGTCTGGCTCCTGCTTTGCGTCATTTTGACATCAGGTGCAGTGTTAACTCTCTGTCGCAATAGAAATTTTTTAGTCAAAAGAATCCTAATATAGCCTGCGTCGCAGAAGAAATCTAACCCCCGTTAGTAACGTCTGCGAAGCAGCAACTGTATCCTTGTTCTGGGCTCCCTTGGGACTCAACGAATGACCGGAAGTGCATTTGGAATTTCCTTTCAAACTGATTGGCAAATTGACAATGGCCTTTTTAACAGGCCAATATGGTGCGTACTCAAACCCTATGGTACAAGTATGTGTAGGTGGGGCCCAGACCAATTAAAAATTTCAACGCTGTTTCGCAGGCAGACTTAACCAGAAGTTTAGTATCGCTTGTGGCCCAGGCTAATCTTAATAATGCTCTCCAGGTTACATTAAAAATCTATTAGCTTGAAAGTGAGGCATGTTGACCGGCCCTTTCCTTATATTTCATGAGTTTCCATGAACTTCAGTTGTGAGGCCTGTAGATCTTAGCCGAGCGTGGGATCCAACCTCGTTCCTTGGGTTTTGACCTATTCACCATAGTCGGAGAGATCCATGGGAACGAGGTTGCGTTGGATCTACGTACACTTTATCGACCCCAGTCTGGACGTAGCAAAGCCAATTTTGAGCGGCTAACCATTGTGTAGCACAACAACCAGAATAAAGTGAGAACTTGAGGAAAGGTTTCTGAACAAGGCTACAGAACACAAGTACTTTAATTTATTAAACAGGCTGATTCTTTAATGCAGAGACAATAGTACTACAACGATAGAGAAAAGTAACTATACGTTTTGTAGGCTTTGACGGCATTTGAACGCCACCATTAATTTTTATTATAATAGAGCAGGCATCCGAAAAGCGCTCAAGATCCAAGGTTCAGTTTCCGCCGTATCGTTCGGCATCACTCAGCACGTTCAGAATGTGCTTTGACCACGCAAATGTGTCAACAGTTTTTCTTTCAATTTTAAACTGTTTTTCACTGTCCGGTTAACAGATGTTCGCTACTAGAGCCAGGACCTGTAATGACACCAGTAATGGGAAACATGGAAGCTTGGATGAAGAAATACGACATGCCAACCGCTGACAAGGAGAGTTTGGAATTGCAGAAAAGATTTATGGAAGGCCCTTTTTTCCAAGGGATGCTCGCCAATCTCCAAGATGTAAGCGAGCTCGCTGCAATGGTGAAAAACATCATACTCACTGACAAACCAAACCTTCGATATCATACAAATGAGAAGTTCAACCCCGATGAAGTTAAGGCCAAACTTGCTGATCCTACTGGGAATAATATGGTTGATTTGATGGTCAAAAAGTACCTTGTTAAAGAATAGTTTCAAAACTTGCCGAACCTACTGGCAAAGTTTTGTTAGAAATATATAAAATACAAGAAGTTCTTACCGTGCGGATTAATTATAATTATGTGAAGCTCTCTCGACACGCTGTAAGTACTTTTTAAAGCACTTACATACAAAGTATTGCAAAGCATTCAAGAACAAGAGACGTCAGCCTTTAAATGGCGATTCTACATTAGCTGTTTGTTGAATTTTGAAATAAAGTTCGTTGTAATTTCAGGGCCGTCAACCCTCACGTCTTTCCTCCCCCACTTTGGCGATTAATCTGATAATATTGCAAATATGCATGCTTTTTGTGCTTAACATTTCAATATGCACTTGCTTGTTACATTATATATTCAGTTTTGCTTGTGTTAGCTACGCTTGGACTTTCTGGTTCATATACATTAAAAGTCTGTACATTTTGTTACTTCTGACTGTGTCACGCGAAGTTTCGTCGTGTTATTTCAATTTCCAGGAAATTTCATACTCTAATCTGGAGACCGGTAGATGCAGTCCAAAATCTCGGCCGGGTTGTTCGAAGCTGGTTCACTTCGAAAAGACCTAATTTCTGTTATAGCCCCCGTTGAAGGTTTGTGTTGCAAACCGAAATATCGGGCAAATATGATTCACTACTTTATTTCTGTTTTCTTTCTAAATTTTTCCCATCACTCTTCCTGCCGTAAGGATCAGTCTACTATTTTAGTTTGAAAATTTGGTACTCAACTTTTGACTGATCCAGGTCTACTAAAGATTCGGCTGACCCCCACTAGTTTGTCGTTGTGTCTTTGCCTTCACAAGTGTTTCTGGGTTAAGATAGCCCAGGGTTTATAGTGCGAAATTTGAATTCAGATATGAAGCAAATTCAGTTTAATTCTTTTTGTCTGAGTTGATGCTCTAAAAAAATTTGCGAAAATTTGAACAAAAAATAAAGAAACCTAGGTTAAAATTTAACCACGGGTTATAGCTAATCGGCCTTCGTATCTAATAACTAGACCCTGGAGTGTCCCGGATTATCCGGTAACCGTTGAAAGCACTGTAACTACCGCTGTCTCTGAATTAAATAGTCAGCCTGTTTAATAAAAAGTACTTTTATCGTGCAGCATCATTGAGATACCTTTCCTTGAGGCCTGGCTATTCAATGAACCGCCTAAACCTGGCTTTGATACTTGCGGACTGGGGTCGATAAAGTGTAGATCGAACGCAACCTCGTTCCCATGGTTCTCTCCAAGCATGGCGAATAAATTAGAACCTTGGGAACGAGGTTGGATCCCACGCTGTGCTACGATCTACATAGTCTCCCTCGCAGGCGTTTTTGTCTCGTCACGCAACGCTTCTCCCCGCTCACATTCGATTTGAGCTAATCACAGCCATGGTTCTATTTTGTGGAACTGTTTCGCGTTAAATAAGCCTTTTATATGCCGTCCAATCATAGCTTGCATGTTGACTAGTCTTTTCGAAATTACAAGGGCTTTAGTAAAATTGTCCAAAGGCAGCCATTTCAATAGTTAAGACGCATGTGCAAATCAAGTTACCACCCCCCTCCCTCCCAACGCCAAAAAAAAATGAAGAAACAAAAACAATCTCTAGCGGACGTGCAACGGGATGAGCGCTTGATGTAAGCCAACTGAAGAACCTTTTTAGGGGGAATTATCCAGGTTCTCACAACATACAGATGACAATTTTGTTCAACTGGCTCTTCTTTATTCAGTCCACTGTCACGAAGTTAGTCCACTTCTATTGCTAAACCAGAGTTACACCCATTTTTATATCAGCCAGAAAACCAGCTGCCTAGTGCAAACTAATGCTGAGTAAGTCTAATCTGATTGGTTGAAACAGCCTTAATAGCATGAACCCTTCGATGTAATTACTTTGTCAAAATGGTTTTTATATCTAAGTTTTCACTATTAATCTTGAGTCAACCGGCCAGTACCAAACAAGGTGAACAATGTAAAAACCACAAGATATCTACTAGCGTATAGACTTTTCACATTAACAGATAGGAAAGTAGTAATATTACAGTTTGAAAATCCTGTCTTGTTGTCGATTTCGGAGAGGTGTCAAGTTTCTTCTCGGAAAGTGATTGGTCAAAACTTTTCCATAAATTAACCACGGACGTGATCGAAAGGCTCAGAGGCCAGATTAAAAATGAAGTTCGCGGTAGAGGGCAGAAATTACAACAATAGATATTTACTTTAATCATCACTTGTGAATTGGGAGATATTCCATACCATTATTATTAAAATATTTTAAATTGCAAGCATAAACCCTCCATTATATGAATTTGATCGAAAACACGGGAAACAAGCTGAAAATTAACCAAAATAAGTATAGAGGTCATTTACTGTAAATCTTGACTAGGAGTCAAGTCAAGGTTGAAATATCAACTTTTTTTTTCCATTTATTGTTGTATGTGCATATTCAGTTTTACTTTCGTATTTTGTAAGTGGTTGGTGTGTTACCTAATCGGCTTTTACCAACCTAATCGTGGTGATGATGATGATGATGAATATAAAACCATGCGATATTTTTAAGTGTAAACTGAAGTCTTTGTTGCATGGAAACCTTAATTGAACATTATTTTACGATAAAAGGGTTGTCGTGGAAGGTATTAAAATAGAACATATTTTGTTTAAGAACGAATTCCATGACAGGAGAAGGTTTATCTTGATAACTATTTTAAACGTCGAGCTTGTAGACAAAAGTGAAATTCTGAACACTAGTCTTAGCTTCTTGATACCCGACATAACATCCCGATAAAATATCCTTTAGTTAACTTATCATACAGTAACTCACTTAAGAACATCCCCTTAATTTTAAGCATAAAACAAACTGGGTAAGAGTAAAGTAGATCAAAACTTAACTTTCCATTACTTTTGTTGTTTAAACTTTTATTGACTTTAACCACTTTTATGCCCCATGTAGGGAATCCAAAGCACTCTTGGATTCTGGATTGCCGTGGATTGATTCCATTTACTGGATTCCAGTTGTGGAAATTCCGGATTCGAATTGTTAGTGG